CAAACGCCACCGCACCTACCCGGAGCAACCCGGAGCTGGCAGAGCTGGCAGTCGCCCGCCGCTGTAAACTGTCTGACGGTTTGACCATGGGGGCAGGTATAGCCGAGAGGCCGTTGCCTTCCTGCGGCAACCGCGGCTACGCCCGGCCGAGCACCGTGCCTCCCTGCACCGATGGATGGGCTTCGTTCATGCTCCTTTCTAGAAGGGCTTAGCCTGCGCACGCCGACGGCGAAGCAAAAAAGGTTCGTTGAAAAAAAAAAACTTGATTTGTGCGTGAACACTCCTCGCACTTACAGCCTGGCCTCGCAGTGTTGTAGTTGCGGATACCCGTGAGAACGACATTTCGAGCAGGGTTGGCAAGCACGCTTTTAGGCGCCGTGCCAGGCAAGATTGTTGCGTTGGATAGGCAACTGTGCAGTTGCGTTGCCGAGAATATCAAGGAATTTCGGACGTGCCCCGAAAATCAACGAATGCCTGTTTCGGTTCCGACGCAAAATTGCTAGCCGCTAGCCTGATGCCCAATGGCCCCGCGCCGTGACCCACCGACATGACATGAAGTGAGCAGCAACAATACTGCCACGCACACTTCGCTTCATGTGACAATTCTCCTGTTCGCGCCCGAAAAGTGTTATTTTGCAGTCACAAGCATGCCCACCTCACGCCTTGACCCTGCCGCCTGCGCATGGTTTGCAACGGCTAGCGACATCGGACATTCGACTCGACGGGGGGAGTATTGGAGGCATTCCCCACCGGGGAGCAACAGCAGTGGAAAAGACAGGCGTCAACTGTCCGTTTGCATGCATGCAGCTAAGCGACATGGACCTGTTACAGAACAGCCATGAGTATGTGTTTCAGCATGTCAATGCAATTGCGCGCTGCCTGCCGGTTGGCTTGAACACAACGGTGAGCGGCGGCTGCCGCGCAGGGCCGTCCGTACTATGTGGCTCACACTGTTTCACGGGGGTTCGGGCCTGCGATCTGCAGTGGCCGACCGCTTTTGCTTTCTGGTGTGAGCTCTTAGGAATCGTCCACTCGCATGCCTCTGCAGCTCGCATGTGCCTATCGCAAACACATGAGAGTCCTGCGCCACTTTCTTCCAAAATGCAGCGGCGCGGGCGCGCAAGACCATGTGTGCACACAAAGCCTTCAAGCACCGACGTGGAGAGATATCTCCAACCCCAGCCCCCTCCGAATGCCGTGAGCACACTAGCGATTTTTTTTTATCCACGCCTCGCAGTTTGCAGTTGCTGCGGGGCACCGATGGCGTTGAGTGGCTGGCCTGCCAGGTTGTGCAAGCAACGCCCGGCCCCTGTCCGTGCTTTTGCTCGCACGGTGTGGGATGTGCGTTGGTCTGGTTGCTCGAGCTCCCCCGCCTCGGTTTATGCACGCAATCCCGAGCTCCACGAGCTCTTTGCAGATGCAGCGGGGCTCGTCACGCTAGCACGCTCGCCGCCCGCTAAGGGCAGCCCGGCCACCCTGCCCCAGCTCTAGTTTCATGAGCCGCCGATGTTTGAGATCGAATAGAAGCAGCGTCGCAGCGTCAGCTCACGATCCAGGCCTCGGGAACTCCGACCTGCTCGAATTTCCGATCGTCCACACGTTTTGGGAGCCGGCAGAGAATCTGCTAGATTCTAAGCAGTACCATGTGGTACCCACACACCTTATGCGCTCAACGCTATTTTGGCAAACCCAACGACAAATCACCAAGCGCAATGCTTGGTCGAAGCCTAAGCATGAAGCCGAATTGCAACCGACGCGCGCGTTCAGCTTGCTTCGCTGGATTGTGCCAGCGAGGTTTTTTTTGTTCCGCGCACCTTTTTCCCTCTGGTCCGTGTGCTCGTCGGCGGAGCTAGCTGATAGCTACAGGACCCCCACGGCGGCTCTGCCTGGAGCTCTACCAGCGGCAGCTCTGCACCGTCGCTGGTGTCGCACGTCGGCAGCTCCAGCAAGCTCTGCGCATGCGCGCGCAAGGTGGCGAGCGCTGCGAGTGCGGGCCAGCGGCGCGTGAGCGCAGCGATTGCTGCGGCCCGCGCCCATGCAGGGGACCCGATCCCGGACGCGAGCGCGAGCATGCCGGCGGAGCAGCGCAACCGCTTGACGATCGAAGCGCGCCGACCTCCAGGCCGAACACCACCAAACGGCATCGCACCTGCCCGCCTGGCCGGAGCTCGGGGTAGGTGCGGAACTTGCGCGCTTGGGCTTGTTGCAGGGCCAGTGCCGGTCGCGCATGGGCCTTGCGCGCAGGATTCCATCTCGCTGAACGGGACTGACCAGCATCGTGTCGCCGTGTGGATCGCGATGTGCGCGCCTCTCCAAAGTGGGAGGCCGTTCGCAACGACCTCGATTCTCCGGCCGTCCGTGGCGGGGGCGTCTAGGTTGAGCTCCCGCAAAGCGACGTTCGTGGCGACCGTGCTCCGGTTTTTTGTCGCATATGATTTTTGTCTGGCTTTCAATCGAGTCTTGCCGCCGCTTCCGCAGAAGTAGATGCCTCTGACACCGATCGTGATAGATCCATTTCTTTGCTATGGGTGCGACGCGCGGACTGTGCCGCTTGCCCTCAGCTCCGTGGTGCCGCCATTGTCACAAACGTGTGGGTGTTGATCACAACTGAGGGGTCCATGACTGGCAGTCAAGCTGCTTCAAGCAGATCGTGGACCAGAATACCATAGTCTTCCTTGCGCCCAGCGAAGGCAAGTTAGCGGAGTTTGTACGATCGCTCTTCTAATGGAACTCTGCACAAAGGATGTGTGCACATGGAATGGGGCAACCGGCAGCAATTGCAGAATCACATCTGCCTAGTCGCAGCGCGCAAAGGAAATAAGCCGCGGATTGAACATGGCTATCGGTGATCATAAATGATTCAATTGGTCTTAGCCGCTTCTTGTGTGTCTTGTGGAGCCGTTTGGTCCCTTCATGAATTCATGAGCTTGAGCCGCAACAATAGGTACGGCGATGGTGATCGTCCGCTGCATCGACCGCCTGCACTTCGATGCGCCGGCCGATGCCAACCGGGAGCCTCAATTGATTTTGCAGTCCTGGAGCACTGTCGACGTGCAATTGTTCTGCCAGTGAGTGCTAGTATGGAGCAGCTTTGTTTTGCTGTTTCGGCGATGCCAGCCCATTAGTGGTGCTGATAGTGTTCACCTGTGGTACCCATCGAGTCTATGAATCTATGAAACACTGTTAGTGAGATGCCACTTGAAAAACCATAAGAACCATCATCCCTTGAGGTCATGCTTGTGATTCCGGATTGCGTCCAGCAAAAAGCCAAGATGTTCCAGCAGCACTACGCGGGTAACCTGCGTGTCACTTGCCTCAAGTTCAATTTCAGGCTTTCGAGCGGGGGGTGCTGTGCGTGCTTGGCTCTTGGGATCTTGCGGGCCCTTGGTTGCCGCGTGACATATTGGATGCGGTGTGTCTGTTCCTGGGTGTCGTTGGCTTTTGCGTCGACATACTACAGTTCCATCTTTGCCCCGGCTTCACTGCTTGGTGAAGTTGAGTTTTTGGAATCTGATAAATAACGTTCAGGGTGCTTGGAAGCAGAAGGTGGCCCAACTAATCGATACCCGATACCTAAAGGTTCCATAAAAGAGACCACCCTTGTAACACAAACTAGGTACTTCGAGACTTCTGGCAGCCGGAACATGTCGTGTGGGACAAAAATACCAAATGGCTTCGCTCGGTGCGCTTCTTTCAGTCCAACCCCAAAGCTGCAAATGCTGAGCCGGCTCGAGGTGGCGCAGCTGGGCAAGTTGGAAAAGAGCTGGCCGAAACAGAAGTGGGATGAGTGCATGGAACCAGTGGCGGCGATAAGCAGAGGTACCTGCACTTTTTTATTGTCGTTGGTTATTACTGCCGTGCTTCCTGCTTGTTTAACCAATGCAGTCACTTTTGTTTGCTTCCCGAAATAGTGTGATAACGCCATGGGCACTGCACTCGCGGCCGGCGCGCACGGCGGTTCAGCGGCTTGTGCTGTGGCGCGGTGGACGTTCTGGGACGAAGATCGGTTCTTTCAACACTCCCGCTCCAGCCGCGGCATTCGGGGACACCCACATCATTGTTATGGCATTTGCGCACTGGTGCAGTAATCGCGCTCCCGCCACAGTGCTGCGCATACTTTACTTTTGGGGCGTGCTCGGATGGAAATGCTCGGTCTGGCATTGAAAGATACTAGTCGTTTCCTCGTGGCTCCTTATAGTCGGGCCTTGAATCCCGCCCATCTTATGGTTCAGGAATTTCGCTAAATTCGGCGCCGTGCTCCATTGCATCATATTCCTGCTCACGCCGGGAACCGCGTGCATGCTTTGGCTGTGAGCCGTGCTTCCACACATCGTGGTCCCACAACTGCCCACGGTGGGTTCGGAGGCGCTTCTGTGCAAGTTTAGACTCCTGGGATCTCCTGGGATGGTCTTGGGAGCGTCAGGGAGCTGCTGTGCCGGTGTCTGTAGGCCAGCTAGGTCCAGCTAGGTAACGAGGACTGTCAGCTTACTGGCTATGCAACAAGAGTCGTGACAATATACATGCCCGTGGCAGATATCGGGCCGCATAGCCTGTTGCACGCTTGCTGAGGAGTCGAGCCACATACTGGTCGGGCCGCCTGACATCTTCTACCACGCACTCACCAACACGTCTCCAGTCTGTTCGTCACGACTTGGTGTGAAGGCAGTATTGGAGTGTGGTGACTTTGATGGTTGCCCGGAGCTGTGCTTTTCGGACACAAGAAAAGGTTTCTCAGCCTGAAGAGCTTCTGCTTCCTTGTCTTTGATGACTGTGACCGTGCGGTTCGTGGCGATGCGACTCTCCGCTGGAACAGATCTTGTTTTTGCACCAGGATTTCACGCACTCCACGACTGCAAGGATGGCCGGGATCTGCCACGATGTGCTACGCCCTTTCTGCAGCGAGACCTCGGCCTCGATCCGCATTGCCGGGTTTACGGCAAGCCTGTCCAAGGTGTGGGGAAGGGCTTGATCGAAGGCACCCGGACCTTTTTTCCTTTCTGCACAGTTCCTGAACCTGCCAGGAAAGCTTCGATCGGGGAGAGCTCAAGATGCAGACAAGCGTGTTCCTCGTCCGTGGTGCCGATGTCTGTTTGGGGGACAACGGCTTCGTCGCATTGTGAAGTGTGCCAGTGGGCAGATTCGAGGCAGCTGCTCCAGCGACTGTTTCATGCCAGTCTCTTTGTTCCTGATGTCCGGGGCGAATACCATGGCAATCGCCCCGAAGAGGATGGCTTCACGAAGGCCCATTGCTGCATACATGCCGCATCAAAGATAATGGTGACAAGGGGCTTCATGATGGACACATTGATGATGAACGATGCTGGTGACGACCACAATGACAATAATAAGCAGCAGCATGCAGCAGTCGTCACACCCTAGCTGCTACTGCCGTTTTTGCAGCGGCTGTCATTGGTCCACGGGCTACATAAACTACAAGAGACATGCACAGCTTAGTTTCCAGAGGAATGCATGCGAGCCTTGCACAGGTGGATGTTGCAGCAGAAAGCGACGAACATGGCAAGTGTGTCAAGTTCCTGCACACCTGGGTGCTGCTGCTTGATGAGATTGGCATGCTTGAATGCTTGGTTCGTCCTTCATGGATGAAGCGAGACGAGCAGTTGTTGCTGTGCCCCGAAGCGCTCGACCCAGTGTGTCTTTCCAAGGGATCTGGGACGGAAGTGCACCGAAAGGCCGCGACTCGGGTTCAGTCGACAAGGTTCGTCGTGGATTTGTTGTGGAGTTATTGCGGGTGAGACGAGGGGCTGCCAGTTTTGAAGCGGTTTGTGGTCACCACAAGGTCTCTACCCCAGCCGCCTGTCCAGGCTGGGTACAGTCGCCAACATCAAGGACATCCCCCGCATCCTCGGCCAGCTTCCGAAGGTCTTTGAGCAACTTGGCAGGGCATCTCGCCAGCGATCTTGGGTGACAGTGAAGCCGGGTGGTTCATGACTGCAAGGGTTGTCGGTGTGTTTTGGAGTGTCTTGGCTGTTCGAACTCAGGGGCGACGGGGCTAGGCTGACATTTCCTAGCCTGTCTACGGCCTGGTCGGATGCCCACACATGGGAAGATGGCAGTTCGAACTAAACCGAACTTTAAAATCAAAGGATGCGCTCTTGTTCGCCATCACGAAGGGAGTCATGTCGCAGCTGGAGGGCAAGATTTTCACGCTCAAGCAGCGCACGCAACACTGTCCGGAACGAAGCAGCTGTGCCGAATTTGAGAACGTCAGGATTCGACCCAAGGGAGATTCATAGCAATGATACCTACCTCAGCAGCCTGGCGCACACCCAGGACAGGAGGCAGAGGCTTTGGAACGAACATTCCCAGCGCTGCAAGAGTTGCTTCTGGAAGCAGCGCCCCTTGGACACAAGGAAAGCTGCAGAAGGTAGCAGCGGTAACGTTCAACATTTCAAAGCACACGGACCAACCAGAGTAAGATGGACCCATCCTTCTCAACATCATTGAAGTCACCCCACGACAAAATCCTCTTCCTCGCCACGCTCTATCTGATTCAACTTGAAGCAGGCTGAAGAGGCTGCCTCGCCCAATCGTTGCTTTTAGTCCTACTTGTATATATGCATCACGTGCAATGTGTTCTAGGATGCATGAAGCTGTGATAGTCGGTCGCACCGAACTTTTGCCTTCCTCCGGCCTCGCATGGGCTGCACGTAGGAGATTGGAAGAAGGATCAGGATCACAATCTCTACTATGGTGACAATAGACAATAACTGATAACTGATAGGTAATAATCAGACAGTCTGTTAAGGTCAACCCTGGAGCTTCATGCCCAGCGGTTTTCAACTCCACAGTATTCCGCCAAAGCTGAAAAGCTCATGGAGATCGTGACTGAGGACTGTGTGTCTTGTCTTTTGGGAGCTTTACTCGAGGGTTTCCGAGCACAGCCTCCAGGAGCAAAAAAGCCTCCAGGACGGTACAGAGCCGAAGCGGTGCCTCGTGCTGGTCAAGGATTCAGCCGTCTCCGGCCCTCTGGCACACATCTTGTCCGAAAGGTCTCTGGGGCCTACAGGGTTTATATGTGGAAAGATGACTACAGAGCAGCGGAACGACACCTTGTCGCGGTTCCGAACGGGTGACCTTGCTGTTTTGGTATCGACGAACGTTGCCAACCTGCCGGACTGCCAGCTGGCGGTTCACTTTGACGAGTATCGCACACTGCATCCTCGGCATTTGATAGCAAGGCTTGTCTGAGAATCCCAAATCGACGTCTGCTAGGAGGGTTTCAAGACGAAAATCACCATTACGGACCAGAGGATCAGACCTGACCTGAAGTCCCAAGGCATGCGCACCAGACGGCCGCACGTGGGCAGAGTCCAGATGTCAAGGTCAGCGTTGCTCGAACTCAGCGAGTTTGTCTTTCAAACCGTATGGCTGTCGTCCTAGAGCTTCTCTGCTCGCTGCTGAGGGCTGAGGGCGCAGAAATCCTTCGAGCCGAGCCACCCTGCAGGTCTATTGCTTCGAGAATGATCCCCAGCTGGCGCAGAAGGCTGCCAAAAAAATGATGCCCAGCTTCAAGATTCTGCTGCGGATTAAATCCATGTCCTGCGACATACTATAGCTCCTCATTTCATGCTGGGCCGCTGGGCCTGTGGCAAGCATGTAGCCAGCTGTTGTCTTCAGGGATCTGGACCTGCTAGTTGTTTGTCATGCAGGGCACGATCGACCCAGCTCGAATAGTAATCTCAATCCCAAAGGCTTTAGTACCCGGGACTTTACTGTTGCACAAACGCATGGTGACCTTTCTGGCCGAAACGTGGTAGCACCAGCCTCGAGTCTTCCCGAGACCCCTGAGTTTAAGCCATTACGGGACCGATCTTGCTTGATTGCTCCAAGTGCATGGCAAGTGCAATTTCTTGATCGCTTTCCCCGGCAAAAGTTTGCGCCCAGATGAATTATACCCCACACGCGTGCCGGAGAGTCTGTGCATGTGTGCTGTATGCTTGTTCTGAGTAGATGTCGAGTTCTTGTGAACGGCGGCGAGAGCACCATAGCAAACATGTCAAGACCTTGCACCCTTGCCGGCACGAGTTGAGCTTTGGAAGCCCTAGGCTCTGAAGCCCCCTTTCTCCCACACGCCTTGCACACCAAACCCTTTGCTACAAGTTCTTCGTCTTGGACCCATTCATATTTTTCTCAGGGACACCTCAACATCTTATCATCCCAAGTCCTTGTCAGACTGTTCCCTGGATGCGGAGCCTTCGATAATTGCAGTACAGCAACTCAAGATCGCAAAGGACCGCTTTGGCGAAACGGCCCGGGACCGTGCTGCGTGAGGAGGATCTCGAGCTGCCGGGCTTCCTACTTGGATGCAGGCAATGTGTTGCCAAGTGTGAGCCGAAGGACTTAAGGGGGGGTGCTGTAGAAGGTTTCGGCTTTAGCTTCAATGCGTGCTGCCATGGACGATTCACCGGGACCCCGGAAGAAGGCTCTCCCCACTGTGATTTGTGCAGTTCCATTGACCTAGCCAGCCCGGTGCTTATTGGATCGCAGGTGTTACGACACAGAGTCAAAGAGGTCTCTGTGGACACACACACACACACACACCAATTCTGCCATCCTCGTGATGCCCCGAAACCAATACCCTGTCATGTTATCCTCGACGGGATCGACTGTGAAGAAACATTGCATAAACTTGAAGAGAGGCCTGCCACAGAGCACAGCACTGAAGCAAGGTTCGAGGAAGAGAGCCGTGCGAAGCGGCCACGCTTGGGGCCAGGGATCTTCGGCGCGGAGGGTGACTGCGGCCTGATTAATGTGCAGCCTGGCAGCCAGTGCAAAGGCGTTTCGGGTTGGGATCCAGAAGTCATGTTGGTTGCCAACTGCCAGCTGATGCAGGATTTGAGCCTGGGTTCAATACAGGTTTCTTTGTGATTGCGACGACGAGATCTCACGTCACCGCGCCAACTACGACCTTCCAGATAACTACTTTCAATTCCGCATCCAAATGCCAGTATATTGTTTCCGCGAGACGAGATGGGACGAAGAGCATCCGGCGCCACGATCATATCTGATATCTAAGGCACAATTGTCGCGAGCTGGTCAACCGATACTGCGCAGAGGCAAAAGTTTAAGTGTTTAGTCAGAAGAGGCTCTTGCAAGCAGCCGGGAAACTCCACATGCTTGCAAGAGTCCTGGCTGCAAAAGTCAGAAGAGGCGCCAATCTTAAAGCAAATCCATTGATGGCCGTATTCCTTCTCCAGCTTGCCGGAACCCTACGTGCTTGGCCCGAAGACTTCTGACATTGAATGTCCACAGGTGCTTGCAGACAGCTTCGTCGTTGAGGATATGTTTTGCCGCGACGAGTCGGGGATCTCGAGCGTCAGATATCCAACACCACAAGGCGCTCTGCAAACTTCTGAAGCTGACATTGCGGCTGTTGCACGTCGTGACTTCGCATTTGTTCTTAATGCTTTGGGGATCCGCCACCACAGCTGCTGCTACTGCTGCTGCTAAGGATGGCTCCTATCGTGGCTACATTAGGCTACACTGGATTAGTCCGGCCCTGTGCGACTTCCTTCTTCGTGATATGTGAATGAACATCATCCTGAATAGTATTTCTAGTTCTTGGTATGATGGCTGTAACTGTGTGTGTTGACATGCTTACACTACAGAAGTTTACAACCATAACGATGATGACTATTGTCTGGTTGCTCTGTTTTGGTTGTGTGCCTCTTCACTAGTTCGTTCATCGTATGGTAGTTTTGGTAAGGATTATTGTGCTAGATATTGCCAGCTGCTTCACTTTGTACATCTTGATGCTATGCTTCACTTTGTACATCTTGATGCTATCTCACGTGTTTTCTGGTGAGGCTGGGAGACAGTGAGCCGCCAAGATATGCAATCGCACTGGGGTGGAGACTCTCAGCAGAAACCCCAGCAAAGCTTGAATTGAGATGCCATTGTAAATCGCAGGTTGGCGCCAAACTAGGGATGGTCAGAGCTCAGGAGGTTTCACACGCGTATCTTTATCCTCGGCCTCTTGTGATCCCGGCGCCGCCCTTTCCTGAAGCGGAAATATTCAGCCCGAGAATATTAGTGAGCTGAAGACCCCCTCGTTGGACCAAGGACTCCAAGGAGTTTTTCGACCCGAGCCGTAAGCGGCATCTTGGATGCATCCGATGCCTGGGGTGGCACTCGGTCCTTGTCCGCTTTTGGCTTTGAGTCTTACGTGTCATGGGGGCTGAAATGGTGGGTAAGGTTGCGACAAGACTTAATGGCGCACGGGCACGCCTTTAACACGAGTCTACGCCCTGATTTCCAGGGCAAATCAACAGTCTCCAGGCTCCTAGTCCATCGCCGCCCAAACCTTAGAGCTCGAACAAGTAATATTAATAGCGAGCTCCGCTGTCGAACGCGTTGAAGCTTGCCATTTCCTTCTCCAGGGTTTGGCGAAAGCACCACGAAGGTACAGCGCGAGAGAGCGGGACGAGCTTTGTTTTCTGTTGCTCGGCTCTGAAAATTGAGGCCTCTGTCCGCAGAATGAGCTGCTCAGCAAATTGTCCGATGAGCTTTTACAGCCCAAAAGCCGTCTAATCTCATGCATCTACAGGCGCTTCCTGAAAGAGGGGGTTGTGCAGGCTCAGCAAGCCGTCAATCCAAGACCGACATTCCCAAAAGATTTCTGGAATGTAAGGCTCCCAACTCCTCGAGAAAAGGCTTGACGGACATGCAGGGTTTGTGACTCCCTCTCATGTGGAAGTGCGGTACTACGCATGTCGAAATTTGGTGCAATGGTTGGAGTTGGGGTTGATGGCCTATTTAGCTCCCGAGCCTTAAAACTCACAGTTCCCCCCCTTGTGCGACCCAGAACCTGCGGCAAGTGGTGGAGTGTGAGGTTCCTAGTCGCCCTGCGCCTTCGCCAGACTGCGGCTTGGTGATTCTTTGGGCTTTGCGGCAAGGGGTTCCGCAGGCCAAAGCTTTAGTGCCATTGATTGACGCGTGGTTCTCGTGTGCAGTGCCTGTCGGGGCTTGGTTTCTGAGAGCAACATCTTGCAAGGATTGCTTAGACAACCACAACCAGCCGACCATGGAAGCAACGCAGCTGGCGCGGGTGAATTTCGTCTCATTCAGTTGCTGGATCATGATCTGTCCACTAGGCCCCTCGAGCCTTCGGACCTGGAGCCTCGCAAGGAAGTGTCCGGCAGCCTCGGATCGAACGGAAGCAACAGCAACCACCAAGAGCACTTCGAGAGTGTCGACTGGTCCGCCCAAGTCCCGCCTCTGCGATGCTTGGACAAAGTCTGAGAGTTGGCAATCTTCATAGTTCCATGATCAGTCATAGTGTGATTTGATGAGTCTGAAAGGCCGTTCACTAGTGCAGCCGGATCCAGACAACATTTCTTTCGGCTCGAGGGGCCCTTACACGGAAAGGCTTTTTGCGAGGTCGTTTCGAGCCAGGGCAAGTTCAGCTCACTGGGGGAGTAGGTGGTTTTATGCTGGTGCCTCTGTGGGAGCACTCAGAGAGAGAGGCCCACCAGAACAAAAGAAAGCTCGCATCTTTCGATGCCCAGGAATGGGCCCAAAAGACCTACCGTCAGAGTGACTGCGACAGGACGCTCGAGCCGCCCATTTGCACTCAAGCCCTTGGAGGTTCATGCGCGGTCATCGTAGTAGCTGTGTCAAACTAGTTTTTCTTCCGGTCGTCATGCGGCCCTGGAGCTGGTTTCCGCTGTCGCCGCTGCTTTGCAGGCATCCAAAATTCAGAAGACTGCAGACAGATACCAGCATGTGCTACTGGTAGAACATACCTCGGCTTTGCCACAGCTTGGCCATTCATGCATCGCAAAAACGTGCAACGGAGTTAATGCTTCTTGCCTGCATGATCAAGCAGAGGAACAGCACCGGTTTGTATGGTTTTCGTCGTTCTCACAACCATTGTATCAATCACCGCCACCATAACCATCGAACAAATTTCGACACTTTCGGTTTCGCCTCATGGCCCAGGATTGATGCTGTATTCAGCAACATGCAAGAAATCTCAGCAGAAGCGCGCGCCAAACGTCTTCTGCAGCTGAGGTGGGAGTACAAAGTCATGCCAGGAGGAGGCTTCCGCGCTTTCCTTCACATCAAGCCGCTGCAGCTTCGCTTCGAAGGCAAGGTCAAGGTTGGAACTGTGGTTTAGGGAGCCTGCACTTCCCAGAAGGTGGCTACAGTTGCTGCCAGTAGTGGCCGTACCGAAGCTGTTGTCGTCGTCGCTGTGTTAGTGCAGCACCCGGATTATCAGAAATACGACTGCCCATCGTGGCCGCGACTCGGACACCAGGACACACCTCAGGGCTCCCAGTAACGAAGGCTCCCAGGGCCGGTGCTTGGGGCTCAGGGTTCCGGTGAGACGGTCTCGTGTGCAGATGAGCTCTGCGGCAGGAGAAGCATGCTCTTCGAAAAAGCAGGCGCTTTGTTTACTGCCGGTAGAATTGAATTTAGGCCGAACAGTTTGTAGTACAGCGCTTCAGAAGGTTTCCCAAGGGTTCTCTATGCCAGTCCAAAATAATGATCGACGCTATGTGTGACATATTGAAGGAGTTGATCACCAAGGGTGAGCCAGGGTGATGCCACAGTATCCATGCATCGGTGCCTGCACGGAGCTCGTAAACTTGAATCCCTGGCTCCCAGCACAGGCAAGCCATGACGTGGCCCTGAAAGCCCTCCAGCATCCACAGGTAGCTGGAGAGTGGCCCAGGGGTCAGCCTGAAAGGCTCGTGCCCAAGGATGTAATGGAGGTTGATGGCTGAGTAAATGTAGATCGACGCGGTGTGGCGTCACAAAGTCTTCTGCTGCTTTGTGTAGAGCTTCGAGCAGCGCCGCCTCACGTGGCCATGTGGTCCTCATCATCTCACAGGTAGCCTGACGGTTGAATTCCGAAATCGCTAGGCAGCATTGGTCTCGGGGAAGAGCTTTGATGGGTTCCGGCTCTGTGTACGATGCGAGGCAGTAGCCATGTAGGTCATTGCATGATTTTTGTAAACTGAACAGCGGCTCGCGCTCGGGTGCCTCAGTGCCTTGGCCGAGCTTCTTGAATGCCCAAGAGACGATTCGCAGTTTTGATGCGATTCGGTTCGTCCAGAACACCAAGCAATGAGGACATCTCGGAGTTGTCGGCACGTGCGTTAGAGAAAGCAAGAGAAGAGCATGTTTGGGAGTGAGGCCGCGCTTCCTTCCACAGCCTGCGAAGCCTTCGCAGCTCCCAGCCTCGATCCCTTCACAGCCATAATGAGAAAGTCTTGATGTCCGAGTGTGCCGTGATTGCTCCAGGCTCTGGGGCCCGCGGCCCGGTCCCTGTGTAGCCATGGCTGGGCCGTCCGGCCACGAGCGGCCGCTGCTGGATGGAAACCTGCACCAGTCCTCTGTGGCCAGCAGCGTCAGTCTTGTGTCTGTGTGCCGGAGCCGCAAAATTTGGAACCTGGGAAAGCTTTCCTTACGAGCCTTGCAGCCAGCTTCCAAGAAACGGCACAAGTGCCAGACTTGGAACTGGAGTCTCTTGAGAAGCCTATCCCAGATCTTACCTTTAGAATTGGATTCAGTAGGCTCTTGCATTTCATGGTCTCAGACTGGGCCCGAACGGCACTAAAGCCGCCACAGTGAATAACTGCAGCTGCGTCTTGTGGCAAAGGAGGCGTCGCAAAAGAGAGTTTGGAGCCCTGGGGCCCAGGGCATCCGGGCAAGTCCTCACCTATTAAGCCCAGGCGGGGAAGGAACAGGTACACATCCTTGCAAACCAAAACTGAAAATAAATCCTGGTAAACCAAAACCGCCGCTCTCTTGAGGCTCTCGGTGATGCTTTGCGTGGACCTGGGGTGCATCGGCCTCTGCTCTCTTGGGCCGCAAGAACTGAGCTGGGCCGTTGCGAGCATTTGCCAGGCGTATCCCCTGGGCCTCGAAGGCTTGAACCGGCGGAAATCCCGAACGGAGCGACTCTATGGCATGGCTGCGACTCTATGGGTTCAGCTGTGGGGCAGCTGTGTTGCATTGCCCTTGCTGTGGCTGAACTTCAAGCTTCCGGCTCTTCTCTGCTGTGGCCCAGCCGTGGCAAAGCTCACTTTTCTGTCGATCCTGAACCGGGCTTCGCCTGACACAATCTGGCCAGCTGGCCGGCTTCTGCTCAAATGCTTCTGGGATGCTCCGCTGCTATTGATTAGCTATGCAGCCGATACAGTATTTTCATCGATTCTGCCTTGGCCGTTCTTCTTTAACGGCAAAAACGGAGAGCTGGTTTCTGACATCAACGCACAGCTTTGCATGGGTGGCCGTCCACTGGCTCGTCATGCGACTTGTGGCAATTGTTCATGTTCTCCGTGGGGTCAATGTTCATATAATTTCCTATGCGATTGAGCCTTGCTCCTTATGCACCAAACCCAATAGTCGCGAGAGTCCAAATCCTCAAACGTAAACTCCCTTGGTCCTACAGCCTCTTCCAGGTGTCGATCCTTCTGGAGCACGAGGTACATTCCGTTGTTAACATGACGGAAGAGTGGCGGGGGCCGGTGGAGGCAGGTTCTGGTTTGGGTTTGATCCAGGGCTGTGTCAGTTCGCGCTTGATGACCTCGAGTTTTTTTTTTCGTGTGGCGCTGGGATTTCTGGATCGAGGTGTACAAGCAACATGGGATTGAACAGCTGCAGCTGCCAACTCTGGACACCACACCGCCAAGCCTGGAACATCTTCGGGATGGAGTGGCGTTCGTCCGGGCACGCCTCAAGGCCACCGGTGGGCGTGGACGCATCTACATCCACTGCAAGGGCGGCCGCGGCCGTGCCTCGTGTGATGGGCTCAGAGGGCTCGCGCTGGCCGGGGTTGTTGTACTCATGCCCACCCTTCATTTTCACAGCCTCAGCTCTCCATTGCAGGTATGGCAGCTGCTTGTCTGATGGCGAACCAAGGCATGGATCTGGAGTCTGCGCTGCGGATGCTCAAAGCAACGCGTCCTGTCGTCGAGCTTGGCATTGTAAACTATCCCAGTCTGCAGGCGTTTGCCGCCGAATGCCGGCAGCAAGCCCCCGTTTAGTTCACAAGGATGTCTCCGGGTGGCATTTCGCCCTGGGCCAACACGAGTTTCTGAAACTGCTCGCAACACGCTGCGAATGGCATTGTGTTGAAATAAGAAGCGGGCTAGATGGGAAAAGGTATGACCAGTGTGTTGAACGCAGGATTTTTACGCTTTTCACAACTCACTCGGAGGTACGGGAAGACATTCACCCTTCCTGGGTCCCTTTTTGGGTGCACTTTGTCAAGAGTCAAGTGAACATGATGCAAGATTGCGTGCAGTGTTCGGTTGCATGGCATTCGTCACCTGATCCTGATCATAGTTATTTCTTTGGTGGTTGCCGGTTGTATTTCCAGCGCTGCGATTTTTGCTCTCAGCATCTATTCCGGGCGCCAATGTTGCAGCACAGTCGCCCATGTGGCCGTCCAGCTTCCCAATTTCTGTTGCATGTGCAAGTTCTGGTACATCTCGAAACGTATCGGCGGAAGAAGAGGCTCAATTCCGGCGTGACAAAAGCATGGCTGATGAGCTGAACCAGCGCTTCCAAAAGGGAATCATCGTAAAACTCTTAGCCACGCGGCCAGGAGGTATTCACAAGACTGGTTTCGATAAAAAAGTTTCGCAAGTCTTGGGTCTCCGGCACCGGCAGCAGCCGGAACATGAAGGCTATCTGAGCTTGGGCTGGAATTTGGACGAGTGGCCAAGGTGCAAAAACCACAGCTCGGGCCATGGAATCGCAGGGAACTGGTTTACGTCGGCCTCATTTGTGAATGAAGAACTTGCAAGTCCATACCGACCTGGTGCAACGGACGACGAGTTGCGTGAAGCAGGAACATCCTTGTACGGCTGCAACCGCTATGCTTGTGGGAGGACCCCGGAATCCCATAAGATCCTTGCCGTGTTCCAGCCCAACCCTATCGTGGGTTGTGCCTTCATCGAGGATGCTGGCACGAATCAGGCCATTGGGTGCACAACGCCTAACACCACCGAACCAGTCAGACTCTGCAGACTTCATTGAGCGCCCAAAGCAAGCCAGGCAGGTGAGTTCACTGGTTGCGCGGAAGATTGGCGAGGCTCGACCGGTTTGGAAGTATCCAGGTGCTTGAATTCGCCGGATGACTGCACTTTCAAAATGCCTGGTTCTGAATCTTGCTTGCAGAATAGCGACCATCTTGTGCCAGGTGTGGGAACCAGGACCTTTGTTGCGTTTACTCAAAGGCTGATGTCCGTTTAACCCAAAGTTCACACCCAGGGCTTTCAAAGGCTTTCCCGTCTCCATTGCCGGAGTGGGGCAGTGGGAAGACGAAAGGAATGCGTTGTCTCTAGGCGACAGGTGCTGCATTGTGTGAGCTGTGAGAAATAGTCCCGACTCCATCAAACACCAGAACCCGCCCAAGGCCATCCTGAACCCTTGAAAACCCCAACGCCAAACCCGCTCAAAACCCTACCAAAAACAAATAGCCTTTCGGGCAAGGATCTTCGAGGAGGCCATGGTTCTTGGCGCGTGGACCGCAAGTTTCTTCCCCCGAAGCTCGACTTTAGTGGCCGCTTCGACCCAGATGCGGCGGGCTTGAAGAGGCGGCAGACGCGCATGTAGTGTTGTGGCAATGGCTCTCGGGGATCTCGGGTGGTTGGTAACTCACTGAGTGAACACGAAGATCATGCGCGTCTGGCTCAGGCTGAGAGCGGGAAAGAGTACGAGAGGGAGAGAGAGAGAGCGAGAGAGAGAGAAGGGGTTTAGGCTTGAGGGCCTCCCTCCACGTTCCGGGGCGGCTTGATCACTTTTCGAAATATGCGCTGTTCTTTCGGGTTTTCCCATGGAGAGGAACTGAGTTTCGATGTTCAGGTTTGTTGCAGATCAGAAGCACTTCAACCCGAAGCCGTCTCCCAGCCAAGTGGCAGCTGGAGTGCGACATCACAACCTTGGATACAATGAGGTGGGCATGTCTCCTTGTTCTTATGCCCCTCAGTCTTTCTGCTCTTTCCTTGTCCATTGCGTTCTGTTGGATCCCGCTTGCTTCTGCCGGATGTCTGCCCATGCTGTCTGCGACTTGCTTCGAAGGGCGAAGTAACAGAGAAAGTTGAAAGCCTTAGCCCATGGAAGACAGACGCTGGCGTGGATTCGGACCGTGCTGTCCCTGCAGGTTATGGTGCAAGTGGGCACTCCGGCAATGCTCTTCGAAGAGATGCAGAAGAAAGGCATCCAAAGAAGGTTCAACATGAATCAGCTGCGGCTCTGGCAGTGCAGAACAAACGGCCTCGCTGCATTTGCGCGTGTGCAGCCTCCGGCTCCACTGGATGAGCATGGCCGGCAGGCGCGAGGTTCCCTGACCCTGACCTTACATAGCCGATCCCCCTTGCAGTGCAGAGCTCATGCCATGTCATAGCATAGAATTCACAAGTCTAGACTGTGTGCAAAGCCGCAGGTGGAGAGTTGTCGCCACGAAGTCTTCAGCAAGATGCGAGACAGCTACGACAGGGCTTGCGGTCGAGCCGAGCCCACGCCCATCCTGTTCTTCGATTTGGAGGCATACGTTTCATCCCCTGTCCCCAAAGAAGCTTTTTTTGGAAAGCCGAAGCCTCTAAACCTGGACATGGTAACCTTTTTCTCCAAGCAGTTTTCGTAGGCCTCGGCAGTTCCTGGGAGGCAGACTCAGCGCCTTTCTCCGCGCACAGAATGGCAGAGCTCTTCCCTAACCAGGGGGACTGCGACCACGGCGCAGCGCAGCCGCGGAAAAGGGCAGCAATTTGTGGGTGGTTGTTGGAGTGTTTTTTTTGTGCGCAAGTCGGGCGGAGTCTGTTTGGATGCTAATTGAGTGCACCGCCCTTTTCTGGTTGCTGATTGCATTCTGGCAGGACGGTCTCTCTGGGTTTCGGCACGGGGGCAGGGCGATTCTTTGTTGATGATGAAGGACGCTGACGTAGTCCTCCAGTGCTGCCCTGAACCTCACGATCGTTCAGGTTACCTCCATACCATAATCTAATAGTCATAGTTTTGCAGCTGATGCTGGCAATGACCTACAACAGGTAGTCTGTTTGCGTTGCATTATGTGGCATTCCCTGGGCGCAGACTTGGGCCCAGATCCGTATCGGACGAGTCTGTGGCCTCGGCATGGGCAGTGGTGCTAGCAAGGCACCCGAGAAGAAGAGTGCCAGAGTCAAGGAATCCGTGGATGAAGCCGACGCCAAGCGAGTAGAAGGGGCCAAGCGAGGGCACCGGTCAGATGAAGACTGGTTCTTTGACAAGCTGAATAGCTTGGCCGCCGAAGGGGATGCCAATGAAGTGAAAGAGTTGATTGACAAGTGGCCAAAGTGCGTCGGCAAGCCGGGTGCCAGAGAAGCAACCGTGACGGCGGCGTTGGCGGGCAATGCAGAAACTCTAGAGACACTCCTGTCTCTGGGCGTTCGGCCTTACATTGGCAGAGATGATCCAGAGGTGAATCCACTGATGGCAGCAATCAAGATGCGGCACTGGAACTGCATTGTTTTGCTTGTTGAAAGGGCATTGAAGTACGACTTTTCGACAGGCTTGCTGCAGGATGGCATGCAGGAGTTCGTCCTTTCCGGCGACACCGACATGATCGATACATTGGTTACCAACTACAAAATTCCAGGAGCCTTGGAAGGAATATGATTAGGACAGGGAGTCTAGCGCGCTTGTTTAGTCGGGGCCGGTTCTCTTGCGAAGTCAGGTAATTCCAAGCTCTTGACCACCGCCTTGCTGAAGGTGAAGGACCCTGAGAAGGCGGCAGCGATGTTTGAGAGATTGGCGGAAGGCACTAAGAGCTTTAACACCGTGTCAACTGTTGCAGAAGAAGAGGGAAGCCTTGGCGGGGAGTTCGCCCCTATCCATGCCGCATGCGTGGCGAAAAAGGATTCGCTGCACAGGTTCATCCCGCTTCTCATAGACAAGGGGGCCGACCTGTCACTGTGGGGCAAGATGCTGAGTTTAAAAACGTCCTATGCCAAGCGCCTGCCGTTGCACTATGCGGCCGAGAACAAGAGCATGAAGACCGAGACTGTCGTAATGGTTGCAAAGGCATATCCGCAAGCGCTGTTTGAGCCTGTGAACAATGTTCCAGGCCGGGCCTTGCCGTGCCAATGCTCCAAGCACAACCCGGAAACCCAGAAGGCATTGGAGAAGTTCATGTATGAACACATCTGTGAAGCCTGTGACGGTATGAAGCCCGAGAATATGGCGGACCTCTTCCGCTTGATGAGACTCGCCATTGAGTTCGAAGGCGTCCGCACAATTCCGACGGAAGAGCTTCCAAGGGGGAAGGCGACGGCTCTGGTTTCTCCACTAGTCAGGGAAGGCCTGCATGGATCGGAGGCACGCCACTTTGTAGCGGAAGCTGCTGCCTTTGCGGCTGCCAACCCCAGAGTGAACCTCGGGCGGGAAGGGGAGATCAAAGTCCAGGTCAAGAGCATCAGCTCCATTGGGAAGGCGAGATGTCGTATACTTTGGGGGATGCCAGAATTGTGTTCTTTTTTGGAAATCTTGCTCCCCATGCAGTTGCCGCGGTATTCATCACGTGATCTTCGTCATCGTCCTCGTAGCAGATTTTAGACCTAGACAGAATCAATGCTTTTGTCCTCCGTCGTCGCTGTGGACATCGTTGCCTCGCCCTCCTACTCCAAGAATGAAACTTTCAGAATCACATGGCAAGCGACCCATAGACGTCGTAATCTTCGTGGTCGACATGACCATCTTCATCGTAACTCGTCCTGGTCATCATCTCTTAGTGTCCGGAGGAATATGTATCGTGCTGATAGCCACCCCCAGCTCGAAGGTTCTGCAGAGCGATTTCTGGGAGCTGCTGCGCTTGGTGAGCCGGGCGGGCAAAGGCAAAGTCGACTGCAGTGACTTGCTCAGCCCGACGGAGCCGAGTGATTGAGTTTCGGCCTTTGGGGATTTCGAGGCTACTCGTGGCTTCAGAACATCCCTAGGCTCCTGTGGGTCTTCAAGCTTTGGACTTTTGCAGTCACGAAGATGACGATAGCGACTTTGCATGTCCGGAACTCCCGCACTCGGCCCTTGTGGTCTGGCATGGGTGTGTTGTGTTCCATATTCGAAGAGCATGCATAAGAAGGCTGAATCGTGCTCTGTGGTTGAAGCTCCAAAGCATATGGAAGGAGCTCGAGAACTTGCTCTCACAGGAAATTTCGGCCAGGCTTCAGTGGGCCGCGGAGGCTTGTGCTTCTGGACGCCTGGCTTTGCCAGAGTGTGGTGCGATTATTGGGGTTTTCGGATCTATGATTTATGTGTCCGACATCCAGCCAGACATCCATGAAAAATGTGTCACGACAGAAGCCACCGACGGAGACAGATTTCCCCCCGTCAGGAAAAGAGTCGCTCGCGGACGGCCTCAGCACCTCCGATGCGGTGAGATATGCTCTATTCGTCGTAGCTGGACTGAGTTCCGCCGCTAAGAGCCCAAGTGGAGACGGCGACGATGAGCCATCTTCAGGTCCGGGGACAATGGCTTCACTGGCGATGGGCATGGTTGGAGAGAACTTGGAAGCGTTGGTGAGTTGGTATTGCCAGGAACTTCAGATTCCGAGTGGTTGGAATCTTCTGGACCTGTTGAAGCAAGGACTTGCAGGTGGTGGTGAAGGTCTCAGTGATATTGTCTTTTCAGCGGGCGACATAGTGATCAAGAAGGCCCTCCCAACCGATCATCCTCAGTTCCAATGGCTGCAAGGTCTTTTCGAAAAGACTTTCCTGGGGATTTATACTCGAGACCGCAAGGGCGAGAGCGTTCCCAAGTCCTTGGAAGTCCAAGAAGTGGAGCAAGTCTACAACTGCGGAAGCTGGGGGGAATATGCTCGTCGTCGTCAGGCTGTGTTGCAAGACATGGCAAAGGGTGGTACTTCCTGGGTTGGCGAGTTGAAGACAGACAAGAGCGCACTTGGCGAGCCACCTGACTGGCAGACAGGGGCGGAGCCAGGTCCCAACGAGCATTGGCTTTTCCATGGCACATCTCTGGCCGGCGAGGCTGGAATCACGGAAGGTGACTTCCGACTGAATATGGCAGGCAGCAATGCCGGCACTTTGTATGGTCCGGACCTTACAAACAGTTTCCTGGCAGTTTTCCTCTTGACGGGCCAGCGATTTTGTTGTGTGTCTGTGGAGCTTTGACAGGAAATGGTGTGTACCTGGCGGAGGTGCGAGATCCCGGGCTTCAAAGCATGAACCTGTTTGAAAACGGCGCATCCGCAAGCTCAAAGGATGTGTGTGTTTGTGTGTGTGTGTGTGTGTGTGCCCGTGTGTGCGTACACCGACGCTGAAAAGCCCTGCGGCGGCTCCATGCAAGAGTCGTGACTTAATTGGTTCATTCAGCCTCTGATTGATCCCTGGAGGCTGTGTCCAAAAGTGATGAGTATACCACGCCACATCCCAATGGTCTGCGCAGCATGCTGATTTGCCTAAGTGCCCTCGGGCAAGTGCATCTTGGCTGCATTTGGTGTCTTCATGGTTCCTGTGGCGCAGGGGCAGCAAACGTGTGACGCTCAACCGGCTACGGTGGTCAACCAACTGGAGGGTGTTTGCTGTGAGGAATCGTCTGTTTTGGCCTCTGCGAGGTGCTCAGGCGATTCAGTCACCAGTCTGGTTTCACTACACTAGAGTCACTAGAGAGCTTTCTGTCCGCAAGAGACGAAAACCGACGGACGCATGGGTGGACTGACTGCTTAGGTACTACTTATAGCTGTAGTTGAAGGCTACGGGAGTTTTCTGGGAGAGTGAAGCTCAAAGCTAGAACCAGCTTGGAAAGTACTCGCCCTTTCAAGCAAACTGTAGCGATCCTTGGAAGCCTTTCGTTCCCATGAAGAGTTGAAAGCAGCGCGGCATCTTTCATCCCTCTCGCAAGGAATTACAATGATCAGAAGCGGCCCGATGGTGATGAGCTTGCAGCAGCCTGACAGAAGGAAACCTTTCCCGGAACCTTCTTGCCTCCCATGGTGCCGGAGAGATGTTTGGTTTGATACGTGACTTCGAGAGTCCAGAGTTTATTGTGTGAAAACGAGGTTTAACTCAGATTACAGCCCGAGGCATCCTGCAAGGGCGGCGGCTTTCACAGCATCCTCGGCGACCGGGAGACTCGGCTCGAAGCTTAGGGCTCCGCAAAGGCTCAGGGCCCCAGCACACTGTGCTCTGTAGTGGTGTCTGTAGATGTTGCGATGGGTTGGAGGCTTGCTCTTTGGTGTGCTGGGTATTTATTGGGGGTTTGCTTCCGGTTCGGGGACTTGCGCACAGCTGTGTCGTGAGACACTCTAGTTGTGGACTTGTCTGGAAGCCGACCCTGCCTTGAGCGAGTGTGCGAGTCGAAAGCAAGCCTGGACCTGAAATGCGCAGTAGGAAGTACCTTTGCAGAGTGCCGAGCATGAAGTTCTCCAGCATGCACTCTGCTATTCGCAGTGCTCACTTTAAAGCATGTTTGGTCGGAAACATGTCTTGTGCTCTTCATTCTTGTTTGCACCGTGCGGCAAAACGCTCGAAGTGTCGCTTACCACGCAACAGACATCATGCAAGTGGTTTCCTGTTTACAATCCCCTGCCCATGCGCACAAACACACTCACGCAAAGGTGCTCTCACCGTCGCATCTGCATTGGGACATATGTGCAAGCTGCACGTGTACTCCCGCACGGACGCGCACACACACACACATGCGTACTTGTGAGCGTACATGCACACATGTATGAATGGATAGTAGGATAAGATCGTACCAACTTCGTGCCTTGTACCATGTCGACTCGCACGACTTGCCATGTAGCACGGGTATGTCCGTGTACAAATGCCGTTGGGACTAATTGCGCAGACATAAAACCGAGACGTGAGCTCCGGAACGCATTGTTTGGAGCCGCGGATGTGGGAATGAGAGTTGGGGCTTCGTCAATGCGTCTGTGACAGCTCTGCAAGAGTGTAAGGAAAACTGAAATCACAATAGTGACGGCTGCAGGAAAAGATCCGGGGCACGCCTCTCGCCTCTGGAATCGTCATTCTTCACTGTGGGAACGGGCTCTGATTTCAGGTTTCCGGCTGCTTGTTTCAGAGGTCTTTGATGGTCTTTGTTCACGAAGTGGTAGAAAGTGGAACGCTGCGGTACACTATCTGGTTACGGTCAGCTATCCGGCATCATGTGCTGGGACAGTTAAATCTTCTTGCCAGACACCGCACCAACCCGAGTAGCATCGCAGGCAGTGTTTTGCAGGCATGATCCCTCCCTGGACACAGTCCGGCTCAAACTGTTTGCCTGCACGCTCGCACCAGGTACCGCGAGATTGTCGTCTTTGACGAAGATCAAGTTTACCCAGCATACGTCTGTCGGTACAAACGCGTGACTTGATGCTCTGATAGGCTGTAAGAAGGAAGTTTCAAAACCGGCCAAACTGATCACAGCATCTCTGAAGGAGAGAGCTGTCGCAATGCGGGTGCCAAATGATCAGGAAAAGATGGATGCCCGAAGCACCTTGTGACCTTGTGCAGATTTGCGCACCAGCTAGTCGGCTCTTATCCCAAGGCTTGCGATTTACGACATCCGCCAGCTGTCTCGAGCCAAAGACAGTGCTACGGGAGACTTTTTTGGTTGCTTTTGAAGAGTTGAAAAGATGGAGCCTGTTCCACGAGGGTCTGCGGTGGCCGGGCGTCTTAGCGTTGCCATCAGCGGACCATCTGGACTCTTATGCACAGTGCATGCCTGCAAGTCGTGGTCCCTTCGTGAGCTCAAGCATGCCATCCAGGCAGCTACGCAGTCAAATTTTCGACGACAGTACATTTTGTGAAGTAGGTCTTAAAACATCACGTGAATATATCCAGTCGTGAAGAGAATGGAGCCTGCAAGGATGATCAAGGAATTTCCTATCGCCAACTGCGATTGATCTATGGCTTGCGCAGCTTGGCTTGAACAGATTGGACACGCATGCAGACGTTCCTTTCCGATGCCCGTGTCATGTATGGAAGCCATGCCTCCTGAACGAAGATTTTCCCCAAGTCTACAACGGCAAAGGTGAATTAAGCGATGCCGATCTCCTCGCGGAGCTTTGTGCAGACGAGCCGCCAGACGCACCGCTGGATCTGACGTTAGTCCGCCGCTCTTTGGAGCAGGTGGAGTGGCTCCGCCTCGCAGAGCAGGAGATGGGAGATGAGCAAATCCGAAAAAAGAGGGAGGGCCGGTTCCAAGGGCTCGGGAGGGGGAGGGTGGGGGGGCTCGTCTCTCCCAGGACTGGAGCGAGCTGCTGAATCAAGCTGGGGACGTTTGGTCGGATCGCGAGGTGGTGCTGCAGGCTGTGGCCAGCTCCGGCTGGGCCTTGCAGCATGCCGCAAAAGAGCTTCGTGCGGATCGGGCGGTGGTGGAGAGAGCGGTGAAGCAGAACGGCTTGGCCCTCCAGTTCGCTGTGGCTGAGCTGAGGGCTGATGTGGAAGTCGCCTTGGCGGCAGTCTCCCAGTGTGGCCGCGCTTTCCAGTATTGTTCGGATCTCCTGAAGGCAGACCGCGATTTCATCTTATCTGCAGTGGGAGCCAACGGACACTCGCTGAAATATGTCTCTGAGCAGCTACAAGATGAGGAGATCGTGCGAACAGCCGTGGATCAGTGTGGAAACACCCTCGGGGACATCCTCGACAACTCAGCATCTGGACCATCTGTACAGCGTCGGATCCGGCATGTGCTTCAGAACAAGGGCGTCCTCGGCTTCGAGGAAGATTCCATTGCCGCTCTAGATAAGATGCAGCCAATGACGATCTATAGCAAAGGCTCTGATCAGGCCTGCTTCTTTGGTCGTGGTGGTTCCGATGGGCACCTGGGCTTAGTGAAGGTTCTGGGCTGGCAGGCGGCCCAGCTCTGCGAGTTAGCGAATTTGGGGCTTCCCGTGCCTCCGGGCTTCTGCTTGAAGGCTGGTCCGGAGCCTTGCGAGCTGTGGCCCTGTGCCAAAACAGCCTTGAATCATGTGGAGGCAGCAATGCAGCAAGAATTTGGGAATCCCGATGCTCCGCTGCTGCTGTCGGTCCGGAATGCCCAGCAGGAGGTTTCCAGCATTGGGCTTAGCGATGAAATCGCTCAGCACCTCGCAGCTCGTCAGAACCCGAACTGCGTCTGGGACTCCTATCGCCGCCTCATCGTGTCCTATGCCCAGGTGGTCCATAATCTTGACAGCGCTCCCTTTGAGCGAGAGCTGGAGAAAGTCACCGAGGCCTTGAATGCGAGGGATTGGCTCGGACGGAAGCACGACGTCTGGCAAATTCCAACCAACGATTTACAGCAGTTGGTTGAGACCTACAAGGACATCTACCAACACCAGACAGGCGACGTGTTCCCGCAAGATCCGACTGTGCAGCTGCAGAAGGCCATGGAGGCCGTCCACGGCAAATCAGTTTCTGACTCGGGCGCTGCCATCGTACAAGCGATGGTGTTTGGGAATTACGACTTCCATTCAGGAGCTGGCAAGCTCATGCTACAAAACTCAGATGGCACACCCTGCGATTTTTCGGGCACTTGGCTGCCGAAAGCACAGAGGGAGGACATCTCTGCCCAGAAGCGGCCTGATCAGCAGTTGACTTGGCAGGCATCGCAGAAGTGGGCTGAGGCAGAGGGCATTGCCGAGGGCACTCGCTCCTCTGAGTACCCTTCTTTGGAAGAGTGCTTGCTGCCGGTTTGCGCTGGCTTGGCTCACTGCAAGGACGTCCTGGCCCGTGCAGGCCACGACATCCAGGCCGTGGAGTTCGTGGTCCAGCAGGGGAGGCTCTGGCTGCTACAACCTTCCACAAACAGTGCCAAGTCGCTCCAAGAGGCAGCGTTGCCCAGCACACCACCTGTCACCTTGGAGCCGTTGCCGGGAGGTGGGTTTACGGTTCCAGAGAGTGGTTTTCGAGCGGATGTTTTGGGCGGGGATCTGATTCGATGAGTCGCGCCTAGGCTGTACTTCTTGCTGCCATGTGAGGACCCGTGGAGGAGGTTGAGATGACCACATACACCACTGGGGACGAGGCTCGGGTGCTGTGGGTTAAAGCAGAGGAGCATAATATCCTAAATCTCGTCTTGCACCCACAAGCTCCCAAAGAGTCGAAAGCGGCAGGCTGAAATCGCTGGCCCGTCGCCAGCACTGAGTGCTGCCGTGGAGCCTCCGGTGGAGCCTCAACTCGACTTCTGGGGCTTCCCCAACGACGTGCCAGGTGTACGAAGTCTAAGAACAGGGTGGAAGCCCAGACTTGTACAGAAGGGCAGGGCCACCGATCAGCCTGCCTGCAGACCTCTTCCAGAGATGCAGGAGAGTCAGCAAAGCACTCATGGGCTGGCATTCGGGTTGGCCCTGCCGCTCTGGCAGACAGCAGTCGCCGGAGGCTTCGCCTGCGTCGCTCATCGCACAGTGGCCGCATCTGTGGCCGACCTCATGGGCTGCCCGACGCGCAAGCCTACAATCCAAGAGCTCGCCAGGCAAGCGGTGCCGACAGTTGCCAGGAATGCCGCGAAGTTCTCCGCCGGCTTTCCCTTCGGTGCCATCTGCTGTTCGCTTTATGTCCTGTCCTTGGCCGAAGCATGCCATGCAGCTTTCATAGATGACCCTATTAACCGGCAGAATTCTGAAAGTGCCTTCGAGCCGAGGTCAACCTTTTGCATTTCTCCGCAACAAGCTCAGGGAAGGAGACCGCGGACAGTCTGGACCCAATGAGTAACTTTCCAGAATCGTAGCTGTTTCCCGAACCACAGTCCGAGTTGCCAAGCTTGCGGCTGGTTCTATTGTCGGAGTGTCGAGTATTCTGCAGGCAGGTTCAGCTGCGCCTCTGCTGCCGCCGCTTGACATGATGCCTAACAAGTCCTTGGGGGCTTGCCGATGACGGAATTACAGGAACTTGTTGTCGTGCCAGTGGCGTCGAGACTAGAATTCGAGCATGTTCTGATCATCTCGCGAAGTGTCCTTCGAACCCCGCGGTGGACTCTTCGTTGCCAGCTGTTCTGGCAGATCACTCGATGCTCTCAGGTGACCTTGGCCACTGTTGCAACATACCCACTAGCGCTGCCCACCTTCGGCCACGACAAGAGCCTAACCATCCGCTCCTCGACAGCCTGGTCGAAGTAAGTTCCTCACTGTGACGCCATAGAGAACAAAGGGATGAGAGAGAAAGATAAAGTGAAGGAGAACAAGGAAGAGAAATGGACAGAGACATAGGATATTTAGCGAGTGAGTGACTCAGTGAGTGCAGCCTGATGACAGAGACAGACAGAGAAAGGCAGACAGACAGTCAGCCAGACGGGCGGACCGACAGACGGACGGAGATAGAGAGACGGCAGGTGATGCAGACCCATAGACAGGTGACAGATGTGCAAATTTAGAGACCTGCAGAGCACTTCTCATAAGGTGCCTTTAGCAAATTGCTGGAATGAGCCTTCATCATGATGGTTGCCGCGCTCCCTACGTTGTGTACTTAGAATGAAAGCTGAATGCTCCGAACCGCGTCCAGGTTCAGCGGCGAAGGCTTTGCGTGCCCACGGGTACCGCGCGGTGGCGTCAGCCAACCCCGTGGCAGCAGTTGAGATGTGACTTCGACACAGTTTATGGTGAGTCCATCCGGGAAGGCGGCTTCAAGATTCAGGGGCTGTCTCTCCTCCAGAAAGGGTTGCCATGGGAATGGGATGATTGTACGAAGCCGATGCAGGGGGAGTGGTCGGATTTTCAGACGGTGGTTGCTGGAACCGGGTCCTGCCCCAGTCTCAGATCCCGAAAGCGTGGCCACTCGACCTGCAAACCTTGGACTTGGGCAGCGCATCAGACGGGTAGTTCTCCAAATTAGGGTCCCCAAAGTACTGGTTCCAGATGCCTGGCTCAATGTTGCGAGGCATGGGAAGTAAGGGCAGCAGTCGAGTCCCTTGTGAAAAAAAAAGTAGTACGGCACCCCTTGAAAAAGGATCCGCAAAAGGAGCCCTTTAAAAAGGATCCTAGAAAAGGAGCCCCAATTAGAGAACTGGTCAGAGGTGCGCCATCGACGTTGTCCGCAACGTGGGGAACAGTGCAGGCTCGCGCTCGGATTGCGGCTGGGCAGGTTATAGCTGCGTGATTTAGTCAACTCGCGTTACTTACTACAGTTACTTTATACATACTTGTTCATATATTTTTTTATACATACATACATACTCTCTCTCACTCTCTCTCTCTCTCACATATATATATATATATATACATACAGATATACATACCTACATAATATAAGGGAGGGATATTTCGTTCTGGATAGACGACGTGTTTCGATACCATAGACACGGCATTCAAGAAATCCCTCAAATCCACTTTAAGCGACAACCCGCAAAACATCACAAAACCGTGTGTGTGGAAAAACTGGGCCCCCACAGCGTTCCTTTCTGAAAAAACGGAAAGCTTCAAAACGCAGGCCCGTGTTTCGACGCGTTCTGTAAAAATAAGGAATGGATAGATAGATAGATAGATAGATAGATAGATAGATAGTTAAAGATAGACATAGCCTTTGTTGGTCAAGTCTTACGATGCTTTAAGTGGCCCGAGAGCTTGCCTCTCGTAGGCCTCCAGACAAGTGCCGGCTTGCTCTTCGCCTCGGGCTGTGCAGCAGGCACAAGGGAGCCGAGTCCTGGAAGCCCAAAGAAATAAGAACTCAAAGGCAGAAGAACATCATGAGAGGATAGCTAGGTTGAATGAGGAGTCCGCGCAGATCGAGTCAGCAGGCTGGTCGCTTGAGTTACCCCCTGCCTGTGCCATGAAACTCTCCATGGAGGTTAAAAACTGTTTGACATCATTTGACAGCCTTGATTCTCGGACTGCTGCAGAGGATGCTTCGCACAGTCCTTGGTCCACCTCCACGAGACGGCCAGGCGCACGACCTTCGGAAAGTTCAGAACTGGGGAAGGCAAACAGAGAGGTCAGCAAGAGCGGAGGAGATCTGAGGCCACTACTTCCTCACATTTCAGAGGGAGCATCGAAACCACCATAACCCCAGCCGACTTCCCCGAGACCTCGCAGTGGGTCTGGATAGCTGGGAAACCCAGGATCAGCAGAACCACCAGTCTAGCAGCATGATTCACCAGGGCGTTTTGGACGACTGTGTTTCTGCAGGCAGCCGCCTCAGAATCCGCCAACGACCCGACGCGAACGCCTCCAGGGACTATGCAGGCTCTGATAGAAAGGGTCTCTTGATGTCTCTTGCCGACACAAAGTGGTCCTTTGCTCAAAGACTTGGCGTTGAGACCCCCCCGGCGCGAAGGCCCGAGGCCTCAGGCTCGTGTCTGGCAGGAGCCTCGGCCCTCAACTTCTGAAGCACGCCCCAGCGGTGGGTGTGAACTCCTTGGTGCGTGTGGGGCTGGTCACGCACTTCCTCAGCCGTCAGTAGGAGCTCAGTAAGCTACACAGAAGTCGCACTAGTAGCTTTGAGGCATAGCTTCGTGGGATGGGGACCGGTGCTGCTGCAGGAAACAGCCATGCCAAATGCCAACACAAGCCAGCACCAGGTACGAGGCATGCTTCTACTTTGGGATTTCCTACGAAGATCACAAGACCAGCAGAGGTCCAAGCCCAGAAGCTCACCGTGCTAATGTAGCTGTGTGCTCCATTTCTGGTGCAGCAGCTCAAGCTGTTGATAGAAAATAGCACCCCCAGGCGCGCAGCCACAGGCAGGCAAGGTGACATCCTGGTCACTAGGAACAGTTTTGAAGCTGTTGCACTCTCTGCGGTAGGGCCGACATCAAGCTAAACACTGTTTTGGCATTCTTTGGAGACGTGTCCAAGTCTGTTGCCCAGGGCTAGTTATGAAGCTGGATGCTTCGAAAATGGCCGGGAATGTAACTCCTGACGCTGTTGTGGCTGCAGCGTCACAGGCTGTACAGTCCCTCTCTTGGACCATGGCGTCTGCTGCGGTGGGCTCTCTTGCCGGGTTTCGCCTTCCGATAGGCTCTTTCAGATTTGAGGTTTTCGGCCTGGGCCTAGAAGGTTCGGCCATGATCAGCAGCACATGGGCACGCAGACACAAACTTACATGACCTGCACACTGCACATCTACAAGCATTGGCATGTACAGTTGCGCTGGCAAATGCGCCTCCTTCTGGATGTATGCGCAAATATGGTACGCGCTTAGACAGACAGATGGACAGACAGACGCGCCCTCAAGGCTGGAGAAAGACTCAGAGGCAGACACACAGAGAGACAAGCTGACACACGCGCACAGACAAACAGATACACAGTGTCTTCGACAGACAGACAGACAGACAGACAGACAAGACAGGCAGACAGGCAGACAGGCAGGCAGACACGCAGGCAGACAGACAGACAGAGACGGACGGACGGACGGACGGACGGACGGACAGACAGACAGATAGAGAGAGAACGAGGGAGATATCTCTCTCCCTAGCCCTGGCACAGGAAAGATAGAGAGATAGATAGATAGACAGACAGATAGATAGATAGATAGATAGATGGATAGATGGATAGATAAGTAGCTACATCTGTTCTACACATGTAATCTTGTCCGTGCATGCCGCTGTTGCATCGTTGCACACTTGGACGCCGTATGCATGCATTATGCGTGAAGAAGCGTAAAGTAACTCACTGCAGCGGGCTGTCTCGAATTCGCCGCTTTTTGAACCAAGCGGCGGGTGCAGACAAGGAGATAACACTTCTGCAGAGCCTGGGCCGATCACCGAAGTCGGTGGAAGAAGCCAAGCGCGTTCGAAGTGTTCTTGAAGCTAAGCCCCCAAGGGAAAATGTGCCTCTGCGATCGTGAGGGTGTTGTCGCAACATCAGAAACCAGGGCAACAACAATAAATAAAGATGACGATGCTCTGGGCAGCAAGTATTCTGCCAGCATCATTGCTTTTGTCATCGATTGTGCCCATGCATCATTCCCAGCATGGACGTACATCTCCGTTGTGCAACAGAGTGTCTTAAGCCTCTGCCTTGCTGAGTTTGCATTCAGAGTCTCCTGCTAAGAGGCAAGTCAGGACCATGGACGAAGCAGTTTCGGCTTTCGTTCCAGGGCTCAAGCTATCCTCGAGTCCGACCGAGGGATCACCGTTCACTTCATTTTTGGAAGACTTGGAACTGCGCGAAGCCAAGCCATGGCAAAGACAAAGCACACCCTTTCCGTGAACATCCCCGAAATGGATTCTCAGCACGAAGAGCTGTACGATGCAGTGATTGCCTTGAAGCAGTCTTCAAGCTGTGTTGAGGATCTGGGACATATTATCGATGCAGTGGACGCGCACTTTAAGGCGGAGGAAGCTTTGTTCGAAGAGTACAAGATACCGAATGTAGTCACTCATCGAAGCGAGCATAATCGTTTCTTAGCCACGCTGCGGAAGAAACACGCCGAGTTAGCGGCCAGACATGAAGCTAAGGAAGACCTCTCAGAAGAAATTCGGCTTCTGGTTGAGACGGGGGTCCGGTGGCTAGACATACACACGAAAGCCTACGATGCTCCGCAGTATGGGACATTCTTCAAGGAGGGTCAGTACATTGGTAATTAACGAGCTATGGGCGCTTTCGCGTTTGTTCTCCGGAGGTTTGCTGGCCTTGACTTACTGGCCTCAGTAGTTTAGTGTCCGTCTGATGTCCGACCTTGTCACAGACGACGGATAGAGTACAGAATGCGGCACTCTCCAGAGCTGGTGATTTACCGTTCCCAACCGAGTTACCGGATCCACTGGAGTCATGCGCAGATCTCGGAGGTACCAAAAAGGATGGACCCAGTAGATGGTCAGCTGTCAACCTATTTTTCTACGTGAATGTTCGTAAGAGCCTCTCCCGCAAGGGGAACTTTGGTCCTTTTTTCCCCCTTCGGTGTGGGGTCGCCAGATGTTGAGGCAGAATCCTCGCCCGCCCCCTTTGCTCTCTTCGAAACGTACCACAGAGTGACCCTCGAGGCATCCCACGAAGTACCCATGGAGCGCCCACAGAAAATTATGGAGTGACAGCCTCCCAGAAACATCCTCAGAGTATCCTGGGTCCTGAGGTGCCAATCCGCAGAGTTAACCCGAACAGTCTCCAGCAATTGCTTTCTTTCAGGGTGGGGATGTTCGAAGTAAACACTGTAAATTTCTATTTGCTTCTTCTTCGGCGTGAGCTGAAATTCTGTCTGTGTGTGCGTGTGTGGGCACTGGCTCCGTGTTGGGAAGTCGCACACGTGCTCCTTTGCCGTCCTGACTTGTCTCAACTTGAGCTCTGAACCCTGAACCTTGAGCCCAGATCACATAAGGTTGGGAAGCCTCACAGAAAGCCTGGCCAGTGCCCAAAACCCGAAGCGCAACCTGCAGATTATACTACATCCGCGGCTTCCCGTCATCCGATACCCAAGAAGCCCTGCAAGCCAGAGACTCCTGGGCCATGTGGACATCTTGGTTTCTAGGAGATGCAGCCCGTGGAGGCTGGGCTTGGGGAGAGATGTTGGCTCTGATTTTAGGAGGAGCGCTCCGCACCTACATCAGAAAGTTGCGGCCCTTGCCGCCGTAGTCTCCTTTGCAAGGTCGCTTGCTCAGGGTTCTGAAGCTTCTTGTACTTCGGTAAGGGGTGCGCGGTGCAGGTGGGCTTCTTGAAGCAGAGCAGCAGCGTTTAGAGGTGAAAGGATGAGCTACCAACTAAACTTGGCATGTCTATTTCGCCGCCCAGACAACTCATGACCTACGCCACGGGCATTAGGCAGACCCAGCTCCTTGGTGCCGGTGCAGGCCCCGTGCGACATCCCTCTGCGCGTCTTCCACCGCTTGGGCTCCAATCAGTTTGTGCTCAGCTTGCAGCTTTGGGCAGGTCCTGGTCTCAGAGTTTCGTGGATTTGAGGCTTCGCCTCCTGAAGCCAAATTTCGAGTTCGGCAGGGCACAGGCGGTATTGAGGCATGATCCGAGGATTTGTTGAGATGAGCTGCCGTATTCCTCTCTTTTCTTTTTGCAGAGCGCGGCCAGCATAGAAGCTGCATATGGTGAGTCTGGAGACCTTGTGTGGCGATACGTTGATGCAGTCCGTGCGATGATGAGGGTGATGGCAAGACCAACGGCAGGTTATCCCGCCGCCAAGGCCCAATAATGACCGCAACGGATAGCCGCGGAGCGTACATGAATCAGGAACCTTACGCCAGAGAGTCTTGGACGCTGAGAGCGACAGGTGATGATGTCCTCACACGGGTGTTGGAGGTGTTCCAACAGGGCCAGCTGCTGGGCTGCAGAAACAGAGGTTGAAATTTTCAGCTTAAGATTCAGAACCAGAAATAGGCAAATCTACGGAAAGCCGGATCGGCCATGGTTTCTGACCGAGGCTGCCGAGCTGTTTCTTTCATCAGACACTTGAGTACGCTACCCTGGCAGTTCGAGAAGCCCTGGCAGAGGACGAAGATGGCTTAGCGAACGACTTGCCCTCTGCCATATCGCTACCGTCCTCTGACCTTCCTGTAAACCCTGTGCGCTCTCAGCCGGGGAGCATCAACGAAAGGCTGCGAACTTTGCAGCTACGAGGCCTGATGCCACCAGACAGTTGTTCGTGGGGCCCGCAATTACGAAGTTGTGGCGGATCGCAGAGCTGGGACCTGACCTTCTGGTGCGCGTATGACTTCCTCCTGCGGCATCGTCCGATGTTCTTCCGCACGATTGGAACCTTGGAAGAGTCCTACTTGAAGGGCATTCGAGAATTGCGAGCAGGTCGTGCTGTTGCAATCTCCGAGCTGCAGCGTGCGGCTCTCAGCAAAAACACACCCCGCTCGACTGCTTGATTAGCTGGAAATCCCAAGTAGCAGCATGCCGCATGAGCAAAAATCTTGAAACGTCCCAGGTTGTCAGAGCATGGAGATGGAGAAGGTTCGGCAAGAGAAAGAGGAGGATGGCAATGCTCCAGTGGACATTCACGTTCTGGTCGGGCAGCACGTGAGTGAGATTGATGCGTTGGAGTTGCACTGGCAGAGTGAGATCGAGCAACTAAAGGCAAAGCAGAAAGCATCCTACAGGGAGCTGGTCGTCGATTTCTTCCAGCGGGAGATGGAGATGGCAAAGCTTGAAGAAACCGGCTTGGCTCAGGAGGATGAGGTACACTCCGAACCCAATTTGCTCATGCAGCTTGCACGCCCATTGCGACCCGAACCACTGGCGCCTGAGGAAACCAACCCCACCAGTGAAGAGGAACCCCATGTAGTCCTGCCAGAAGGGAGCCGCCTCACGCAAATCTGCGAGGTGCGCACAGTTTTCGGACGTCAGGCCTTCTTCGTGCTGCGCCTCTGGATCGGTGATGTCATGGACTTTGCAGGAGGTGCCGCAGAGACAGAAGTCCCAACAGCAGATGACGGTGACGGTGCTGGCCCGCAACTACCAAAAGCTTTCCTGGGCATAGACAGCTACGGGCGTCAGGATTCATTTGTTGCAGGCAGCGTTTTCGCCAGCCACGAGCCAGGCGGTTTGCCAAGGATCCAGGCTGCGTGGACGAAAACTCGCGCTCTGCCAAACCATGTCGTTCGGGGACAGTTCGGAGGCATTCCTTTCTTTCGCTCTGCTTCGCTGCGATTTTGGGAAGCACCAAGATTGCCGCCGCCGGTCGCGTTGTCCCCAAACGCCTACTCAGACAAGCTCCGCGGGATTGTGATCCCGACGCTGGAACACTTGAAATTCGAGACTTCTCAGGCATCGATGCTGCGAGAGTTTGCTATGCGCTGTGCTCGGGTTAGCGATTTTCACTTCAGCCCTCTGAGTGAGCAGCTTCAAGCCATCAAGGAACAGGAACTTTCGAGTTCTGGGCCTTTGCGTGCTGGCGACTACTTCTGCACCCGACACTCGAACCTCGGGGGTCAGGTACAGGCTGCTTTTCATCTCCTGGTGGCCGCGCCGTTGGCCAGCGCCCCGGCCGACGAAGTAGCAGCTCCGGTTCATCGGGCCTTGAAACGCATGCTCTGGGATTGCCATCGCTGCCGCGTCTCCGAGCTTACAATCCCTCTTCTTCTCCTTGACATCGGGACCTTTGAAACCTCCTTGCCTTATGCTGTTGCACAGCGACGGGCAGAGAATTCTCTTCGAGCATTGAAAGGAGCATTGACGGCCTTGACAGATGACCTGTCGCCCTCGGAGTTGCCAGGCCTGGAGTTGATCAACCTGGTGCTGCCACTTTCGTGCTCGCAGAGCATCAGTAGCAACATGCCGTCCGTGGCCAGCACGACGCAGACTTTCTTGAGGCACTCTTTCCAGTGCGTGTGAAAGAGAAGCCCTTCGGCGAGGAGAGTACTGCCTTTGGTTGGACATCTCATCTGCACGGCCCCCGGTGTTACATCCATGTGACCTCGCCCGACACCCGGCACCAGGATCACATCATCCTCGCACATGTCATGCCTTCGAGGACGTGACGCTGCAAGAAGTTTAGCAGATTAGCACCACGCGCGGATTTCAGGTGAACCCACAAGTAGCTGCTTTGGCAGCGCCGGGCTTGAGGTGGATGTCTTGGCAAAATGCAGTTGGGGCTTGCTCGCGCTCAATGGGATCCCAGTGGTATTGCTGCGACGTGGCGTCGGACTTGACCGTTCTCAGCGTTGGCTCCAGATTCATAGCACCAACACGATAGAGTCACAACCTAGAAGGTGCAACTCAAGCAAACTCGAGCATTGTTCGTATCACTCTCAGGAATCTTACTGGCCGGGAGTGGCAGCTTGCATCCTTAAAGTTTATCTCTCCGAAGACGTATCAACTGCGTTGCATGAGAGCTGGAGGGGTCTAGGGTTCAATTTAGCTTCCGCTTCAGGGCTCGGGTCAAGGGGTTTGAGGCTCATAAGCCAGTGTCGAGGATGTAGACCTACCTTTCAGGCTTTCGGAATCACCCTCCGTGAAGTTATGGATCGGCGTCGCCTTGCAGCTGCAAGTTTGCTGCTTGTGGCCGCCACTGCCGTGGTGCGTCGTGTGCAGCAGGCACTACAAGTCAAGTATAGTCGACAGAACATCATCAGAGTAGGCGTGCTGACGACCGTCCTTATATGTCAACAGAACAAGAAGTAGCTATCACTGTCATAGTACTAGTGTCAGGAATCGCAGCTTGCAAGTCACACTCTACAAACCCCCACTCTCTTAAGCCTTGACAAAGTGGAAGCCCAACCACTCGGCAGGGTCGACGGGGACGGCAGAAGAAGACGCGCGTCGCGTTGGTGGACAACGGGTCTTTGAAGCCTGAGGCTGTGCAGTGTGAGGGCCGAAGCCACACAGCTTGAAGCCTTCCTTTGCTGAACAGACAGCCAGCTGGCCCTAAAGATGTCGCTGCTCGAAACCCTCAATAGCCCCAATCCTTGACTCCGAAACTGCCCCTGCTGCTATGTAGGAGGAAAAGAAGCCCCACTGTTCCCTGCAGTGCGGCTGAGTCAGCTAGACGAATGGCATAATAAGCTGACCACTCAATCCCACAGGCCACCAAATCCCTCCGACGCCTCGCGGCGTCGCTGCAGCGGCGCGGAAGCTGGACCGTTGAGGCTTTCGCGTAGCTTGAGGTCTAATGCGATAGGTTTAGGACCTTTGGTTTTTTTGGTGCCTTTTGTTGTGTTGAGGGTTTAGTCAGGGTCTGAAGTTCAGGGACTGTGGGTGGCCCCTGTCGAGCCTTTATTGACATCGTTCCTATGAGAGTTCGCTCAAGTCAGCAAGTGAGCAAAACTGGAGTGCTACGAGGTCTCCCAGATTTGAGCGCGCAAAAGGGCTCGCAACTGCTGTCCGAATCAACGCTGGCAGACACTTTGCGAAGATAGATTTGATCAAGCCGTTGCTCTGCAACTCAAGCTTGACAGCCGCGGTCCCCTGTGCAACACTCTTCTTCAAAGCACGTCTTCCCGAGTCATCTCGTGATCCTGATGGCTTTCCGAGTCAGGCCGTGTCGGCACGCTTCGCCGCCCCTCGACAGCGAAGTTCGCAGATCTATTGAATCTATTGTAATGGCTTTCGCAACAAGTCATGGCAGGGCTATTTCTGTGGCACGCTGGCTAGCAGGCTCTGGACGATGTAGCCTTCTGAAACGTTGTAGATTCGGTGAGAGGACCTGTTGCAAACCGGGTGCCCGTGAATCATTCGGAAGCAGCACGACCTGGTTTCCTTTACCTGAACCGGTTTTGCTGCTTTCTTCGGAAACCCGCGATGCTTGTGCAAGTCTGCAGAAATGTCTCTGCCATGCCCATGTTTTGAGGCAGTTCCATTTGCATCCGCACGTACATAGATACAGCCAGCGAAGTAGAAGTTCGTTCATTGCAGGCTTTGTTTCTTGTAGCACTCAAAGGCAGAACGTCCATCGCTGCTAGTGGCAGTCGATGGTGCATCATGTGCGAGCGTCCGAGAGGCATGAAACTGAGTTCCGAGCCAGAAACCTGCAAGGACAAAATTTCGAAGGACAAGTTGGATGGCAAGCCTGGCGAGGCAAGACGTCGGGTCAAGAAGGCATAGAAATTGCTGGATTCTAGTATATCTGACTTCTGATGTGGCAAAGGCATAAATAGCAATTGCCAGTTTTGGTTACGGCTTGCGACAGTGCGAAAGATAACAAGAACACTGGCGCCGTGGTGATTGCTTTGCCAACACTTACCTTCCAAATCCGCTGATCAGACCTTAGGAAAGTAAGGGTGGCAACTCAGCAACAGCAGCAACGGCGGAAACTACAGCAACTGCAAGCCAAGGGTCAACAAGGATAGTTCTAAGGACGGATTCAGCACAGGTCTTGGGTCCATGGTTGAAGCGCGTGGCTGAGGAGGAAGGCAGTGATGCCAAGGCGGAATCTGTCTTTTTTCTTTGCTTTTTTTAGGGTGCTCAGGGGGCTCCTGCGATAAGTGCATTCCTTCAGTACCTCGTCGAAGTTCATCGTGCGCATGGCTTCTGCAACTGGCCAGCCTCCGTGTGAGTGCCCACAGTCGTTCTCAGAGCTGTGGTTTTGGGAGTGCTTCAAGAACATGCTCACACTTGTCCAACTGTCCCGCGTGACGCCCGCTTCAACAATTCTGCGTACGGGCACCAGCCAGTCCGCGGGGTGCGAGTGTCGCTCCTTTGCAGCAGAAGCAGCGCGGTAGGCCGGGCTCGCTGCAGTTAATGAAAGTGCAGGACAAACAGGAAGTCCCCACGAACGGTAGGTCCCGAAAGCACGAGCAACAGTCAGCAGAAGCAGAGCCGCCGCCCAGGAAAGCGGTTATGAAGTTCAGGAATTGGCTCACGCCCCAATTCAACCATAACCGTAAGCCTATAATGCGATGCCCGCTTGAACTCCTAAATTCCTGACAACCCTTCACTTGTGCCTCCATAGCAGGCTTATAGCAGGTTTCCTCCTTGGAGCTTTCCACAACTTCAAATGATTTCTGTGCATTGTGGAAGTCGGTGTTCAGGCGATTGCACAAGTCCTGATGCAAAAAAGGGGTTAGGGGGTTTACAGGATTTGAGTTTCGGGTTCAGAGCTCTGGGGCATTTAGGGGTTTCCAATTTCATGGTTTAGGTTTGGCAATCACGCGGTGGTTTCTTAGTATGACTGACATTCGACGTCGTTGCCGGCAGGTTCTCGTAAGGTTTTCGTTAAGAGTGTTCTCAAGGTTCTTATACAGGTATGCCAAGAGTTTTTTTTGGTCTAAGACAGGCAAGAAGCCCCCGTCAAACAGAACATGAAGGTTCAACCCGAATATATACATGTATGTATTATATGTATGTATAAACGGCATGTGTCCAAATATCTGCATGTGCATGCATATGTACATGTGTTTGTATGGGTAAATCTGTATACACACACACACGTGGCTGAAGCGCAATGCCTCGACATCTTGGAGGTTCTCCTGCTGCCACTGCTTATCGGGCCCAGTGACACCTTGACCAAGACCATGCCAGAGGCCGCGCGTGCGGCCTCAGACCTTGAGGCACCTTACATGGGGAGGTTCGGCTTTAGGCAAAGATAGATACTTGCATGACTTGCATTCAACCGACAATGTTGAGAGTTTCCAACGTCCAAGTCTTGGATCCTGAGAGCGTTTTGCTTCAGCGCACGCCTTGGTGTCAGAATGATTTGGAGCATCGCTGCGCTTGCGATGACGTATGAGGTTGCCCAGAGATACGCCGGAGTTTCGACAGTTTCGCCAAACAGTGAATTCTCCTTGGTGAGGTCACTATTGCGCCTAGCCTGGTCTGCTTGTGCCCGGCCATTTACAAGGATCGGGTTGCTTTCGGGGGCGATCGGGTCTGTAGACCGGCCACATATGATGACACCCTGATCGCCAGTGACAGTGGCATAGAAGTGGAGAGCTCTGCACATCTTCAGCCTGCTTGCCATGTTCGGCCCGGAGAGGCCATGCAAGAAGGCTTCTGCAAAAGCCTATGTACGAATGTCTCGCACAATCCGTGCAGATGAGCACTGTTAGGAAGAGAGGGTCGACATGTATATCAGAGCATGTGTGTGAGTGTGTGTGTAGGTCCATCTGCGCAAAAAGATACCTACAGGCCCTCGCATGCATTCATTTATGCATTCAAACTTACAGGCGCGCGCACACACGCATACACATACATAAATACGGACGTACATACATAATCACACATACTTACATATACATGTACGTGCGTGCACACACACAGACATGCACGCACATGTGTGTATGTATATATATATATATATGTGTATATATATATATATATATACATAGACATATACATATACACCTATATATATATATATATATATATATTCTGCACATGTATATATGTATGCAGGTATGCAGGTATGCAGGTAGGTAAGTAGGTAGGTGTAGGTAGGTAGATTTCTGTATGCAGAGACATACACACGCACACAATCTACTTCAGTCTGATCGTGTATGTCCAGGCTGAGGCCTCCGGAGCTTCCGAGATGGCCACGATGCTTGCAGACAAGCTGGGCGACTTGACGCCGGATCCTGAGCTGGGACAGGGATGGAAAGCTTTTGAGATTCAGGGCTGCAGGATTGCGGATTTCGGGCACCAGGATGTAAGGTTTCGGGATGTAGCCGCCTGGCGCGCAGTTTCATGAGGTTGCTCGGCAATTCGAACAGGCCTGAATACAAGAAATGATTTAGAAATTTATGCTTCGGGGTTTACAATCTTGCCCTTCCTCCCAGTGCTTTGTTCTGCAAGTCTTGCCGGCCTTGCCACCAAGAGTGAAGCCCAGGCCTACTTCTGGCGTTACTCACGTCCTCGTCTGTGATCACGGCTCTCCGGCCGCCAAAGTGACTGCAGCACGGGAAGCAGTGCGTTCCGAGCTGGAGGTGTGGAGTGTGTGATCGTGTGATAGGCATCAGCTGTTCGGTTGCCTGGACCTGCTTTCTTGGAGATGCTTTAGGGACGGCCGAAGGGCATGATACCTTCAACGCTATTGACCAACTTCACGCGGAGGTGAAGCCATTCGGGTTGTAGAATTGCCGGGATTATTATTATTATTATTTTTATTTATTTATCTATGTTTTTGCCTTTTTTCGGCCTGCGGGGCGTGGGTGGGGTGGGGCGAAGGGGGGGCTGCCCCGAGCTCGTGAGGCGTCGGGGCGGCGGGGGAGGCCATGTCTGTGCGTACAAGTGGGCTTGAGGCAATATACAGGTCGAAGCAACATACCGTATTGACATGGCTTCGGTTAGACTTGATGCGACCTGTCATACAAGCATTGTGTTATTCTATCTTACATTGATATCAACTCAATATAATAGTAAGTTCCAGTTTTGGTAATACTGCAAAATATGTTACGCGTTAGTCTAACATACAAACAAACTCGTATTGCTATATGATTATGTGAACACTATATTAAGAATATGCAGAACCTGGCTAATATGTTAGTTAATAGGCAACTACTCTTTGTTACGGTTACATTTGCGTTAAGAATGTTAATATGTTTCCTATTCTGCTATGGTACAGAATAGTATATAATAGCATAAAGCCTTACAGCATATTATATACAGCATGTCATGTTGTATTCTTGTTCGATTATAGTATGTTATGTTATATAGGTTCTATCATGCCATGTTATATTCGTTTCTAGTCTGTCATGCTTTATCATGATATATTGATATGCATACCTTGTGAGACAAGATAGCTTGGTAGGTTGCAGTTTACCACATGAACTAATAGCACATGATACTGGGTTATTCTGTTATATTCTGAAGTTTATTTGATATTGTATGGTTTGGTACACGGGTAGTATGCATTTGGAAAACAACAGTTCTCCCCCAATAGACTTCATTCAGAGTCAAACTTGGAGGTGAAGCTGGGTCGCAGCGTGACTGCCTGCTGCATGGAGCGACGCGAAGGCGGCCATCCCAGATTTGGCTCGACATCGGTGCACCACAAGCAGCGGTGGGCCTTAGAAGCAAACCCCATGCGTTTTGGGGAGTCCAAGCCCGTACTAGCCTTCTGAGTCTCGGAAGGTGCCATATACGACTTCAACGGACCTTTGCTGGAGGATGCTCTCAAGGTCGATACGTCTTTTGCGCTGGTGCTTTGGTCATGGCCACGCAAGTCGTGGGTTAGGTGTCTCGCATAAATGATGCCGTTCGAACGAGTTACACACCAAATGCCATGCCTCCAGACCCCTGACCAGTCGTCGCAAAGCCGCACCGACTGTTCCGGGGCAGAAGGGGTAACGGAGAACAATTCCAGATGAAAGCAACGGTCATCCAAAGTTGATAAGTGGGGGGGGGCTTGGGGGCTCGGAGCTCCACATCTAGGCCAATCTAGCCGTCAGGACCTACCTCCGGGGGCATTCGCGAAGGTGGCACTCTTGTTCCTGCAGGACCCCGTGAACCCCGCATACCAGTTGTAGCAGGTCTGACTCCGGGACAGTGTTTTGCTACACAGGTTGGTTGAGCGGGCGATTCCAAGATCTGCCGTGTTCGTGATGGCTTGGTGCATGGTGCTGCCTGTCTTCCTGCCATTTAAGCTTGCTGATTCTGCAAAGATAATTACAGAGTTTCGTATCAGCCTCGAGGCCTCTGCGCAACATGGGCTGTTGGTTGGCATGAAGCATCTTGTGGACTTGGACTTGAGCACAGTTAGTATCAACGGTCGAGGATACATCGAGGTCGGGTTGCCGGAAACAACCCTAGCCTTTCAGGTGAGAGGCAGATGATTCCAATTCTTCAGGTAGCAAATGCCCGAAGTCTCACTCTACGTGTTTATCTCTATTGCGCGCGTCTCCACGCATGCGTCGGAAGATTTGGGAGGGCTCCCAAAGCCGCTTGAACTCAGGGCTTTCTCGTCCAGCCTTGTCGCAGGAAGGTCGCCACGCAGGTCCAGGAGGTGACATCGCCAAGATTGTGGAAGGAGCTCCATCTAGACTATGCACTTCGTTCTGGTCGAGAGCTTTTGGCTGTCAAGACATAAGCCTTCCAGGAGTGTTGGCCGAGCGAAAAGACCTGAAGATTGAAACCACCGCGGTCTTGGCAGGCCCGCATTGCGCCAGAGGATTTCGGACATTTCCGGGCTTGAGGAGACAGCGGTGCTGCAAGTCCGAAAGATTGAACACTTGAGTTTAAGTTGCACTTGGGCCTCGAGAAATCGAAACATCGATACCAAAGCCTGAGCCCAACAAACTCGAGGTGTATAATGTAGGAAGCTGGCAGGTCATGCCCTGTTGGAGGAGCTGCTACTGAAGCGCGCGCAGAAGGCAGTCCCTTACCACCTGTTCACTTGAAACCGTCCGGGTCATGCTGAGATAGATCGCAGTAGGTCGTTTCGAGTGCCTTCTGCTCACTCACAAAGTTGCAGACGTTGCGCTCCGTCCGAGACGATGGTTTTTCCATGCCCGCTGTCGGTGCGGGGCAATCAAAGTGTGCCAAAGACTTGGCGACTAGGTCAGAATAGGCAAGATGTTGTAGAGCCGGGCACATTCGCTTGTATCATGTTAGAATCATGTTGCATCCTATTAGCCGTCGTCCCGATGATGGTGAACAGTTTCCATTGCCCTGCAGTCCGAAAGCGAGCAGTTTTCTGCCGCCATCTGCCGAGCACCACCAGTGAGAAAAGGGCCTTCAAACTAGTGCTTTGTCCGGCAGCATGAGGTGAGGTGCCCTCACAGATTTTCTGGTTCTTTGGTTCTGAGAACAAGTTCCCAGTTGACCGCGCCCGTTTTGGAGCCTTCAGGGGGCCACAAGACACCACGACTGCGCCCGTTTTGGAGCCCTCCAGAGGGCCACAAAACGCCAATTGTACTGGTAGCACCTGTGTACAAGTTCCCAAATGTCCGCGCCTGTTTTGGAGCCCTCCAGGGGGCCACAGAGCTCCAAGCGTAGCTCCAGAGTATTAGTTCCCAAATGACCGCGCCCGTTTTAGAGCCCTCCAGGGGGTTGCTTCAGTACACCGCAAACCTCTCTCAACAAGTCCCCCTCAGCTCCCTCCCCAAGTCCCCTCCTTTCACCCTTATGGTGGTCTAAAGGCCTGATCTGGCTCAAACCACCGTTTTCGGGCCCAGACTCTGGGTTTGGGCCAGTTGTGCTCGGTCTGAGTGTAGCTGGTTGCGCGCTCGTGAGGTGGTTACTGCCTTGTCCTCCCATGCATAGCGGCATACTGGCATACCTTCTGGGCCGTTGTAGCTGGGGCCATCACGTGCAGTAAGCCGTACACTCACCCATCTAGGCATGAAGCATTCTTTTCACTCATTGTGAGTGTTTCCCCCACTGCGTGGTGGTGTCAGTTCCGCGCCTCTCCACTGGTACACTGCCCCTCGAGCTCATCTCACTCGCCAGTGTCGTTTCAGACTCATCGCGGTTCTGTGCATCTTGGCTTGATTAGTTATACTCGCCCTCTCGAACTTCTCGCGGAGAGCGGCGATGACGGCAGCGGAGCGCTCGGAGATGCTTGGGGGGAAGGGGGTTGTCGGCCGCAGTAACGCCTGTGGGCCATGTTCATCCTCCTCCTCCTCCTCCTTTGGTTCTTCATTATGTTGGCGGATACAGCGCAAGGCGGGGGGAAGGTTTGAAACGTGCGCTGTCCGCCACCTCGCAGCCGGTACCTTGCATGAGATGTTGCAATCCTGTTCCGTCGTCGCTGGTCTTGCGTGCGTAGCTTGAGTCCATGCGCCCGTTGGTTTGCATGCTGGCTGCAGTGCGATGGACTCACTGCAGCAGTCGCATCGGTTGGAAGGGCAACGACACGTAAGTCTCTGCTGGTGAGATGCAGACTGCGCAAGGCCAGGCCCTGCATGGGATTGTGTCTTGTGGTCCTTGCATCTCGGGCTGCGATGATGCCTGGAAATGAAGGCGACGAGATTCGCACCACCATGCCCGGTTCCTTCCCACACCTCGAAGTGTGCAATTATATTGAGGAGAGGCAGAGCGGCAGGCCAACAGAAAGAGGAGACAGCGCGTTCAAGGGCGGCTCCTTTGCGACGTTTTCAGCATGGATAAGCCTTGCTTGACACTGCTGCTCGGCTCGTACCTGGAAGGCCACCCCCCCCGCCCCACATGCTTCGACTAGAGCCCCTGACAACAGGTTTCATCACTCACCTCAGTTCCGTCCCGAGCCAGCCATGTAACATGCGGACTTAGTCTTTGACCCGATCTCAGCTAGTCTCAGCGACCCTGCGGTCTCAGCCCAGGTGGACCCAGCGCCCTCAAACTAGAAACTCAATAGTCCTGTACACTTCAATGAAAGTGTGAACTTCTTCCCTCCCGACTCTGACGCCTCGCCTGTGTCTCTACTGGCCCATGGGCGGCTGTGTCCATGGCCTCGCTCCTGGCTCAAACCCTGGAGCAGCAGCCGTGGGCTTAGTTTCAGCCCAGCAGGGGGCATTCTGGGCCAAGGGTTTCGGATGCGTCTGTGGTCTTGGATAACACTTGCTTCATGTGCTCATTACGATAGCTCCCGTTCCTCAGCCTCATCTAAATCCAAGCCTGCTTGCTTTCCGAAACGCGAAGCTGTAGACAGCCGGTGTTTCCACTGAGTGTTGCAGCACGCACCTGAGTTTTCTTCCATCCTAAGCTGACGCCAACCTCGCAAGTGGGAAGCGCCAGCAGACCGTCAAGCAAGCACCCGAACAGTCCACTGTAACGGCGCAGGCTCCGCGGCATTCCAGTGCTGGCCGTGGGTCTTGGACCAAGCATAGAGACCAAGCGCGGGTCTTTGGGGCTTGGTTTAGGTTACCGGTGCTCTTGGAGGCTCAGAGATTTTCTTGCCTCAGTGAGCCCTCTGAATACAGTTGACGTTTGGGTTTTTCAGCATGCATATTAAGCATGGCATAGCATTGGGATTAGGGTGGGTTTGGCTCTTAGGGAGATTCATCGTCAGAACCAACAACCCAGCATTCTCGTGAATGCCGGCTTCCGACTTCGGCACCCTGCGCGGAGGTACAACTTGCCCCGGCGGCTTCACGGTCGTGTCAGCCTTAGCGGTGCATGTATGTACACATACATACATACATACATACATACATACATACATACATACATAGATGTATACACACACATGTAGATGTTTGTGTGTGTATTTTTATGTAAGGTGCACCGCAACTCTCTCGACAGCTTTTCTTGCGGGCAGCTTCATGCAACACATCATTGGTAAAAATGACAAGCCTTGATATCAGCCACACAAGCAGTGCTGGATTTCGCGAGCTGGTATCTCGGGGGTTGCAGAAAATCTTTTCCAGCTGCAGAAGCTTGAGGTAGATCTTGATGGGTGGCCCCTTCGCAGATGGGATGCTGCTGCTACAGAAACATCCAAGCTGAACCGTAAGTTCTCATGCGTCAGCCTCCGCCCAGATTGAATCGATCTTGCACTGGCTGGCCAACGGTGCAGGGGCCCTCGGGTTCTTGTGGTCATCAAGTCTGTGCCAGGTAAATTTGTGTGGAGCCTCGCTTGCCTTGTGCGAGAGTGAGAGTCGAAATCTTGACTACCCTCTCATTACAACGGGAAAGCCAGCTGATGTTGCGGGTGGCCTGAGGGTAGCACGACGTTGGATGTCGCGTGAGGATACATTGTGAGGAGCGGGTTGTGTTCTCGGCAACATGTAGTCAGCCTTGTGGGACATCGTGCTCTCTTTTTCTGTCAGGTTCGCCAGCCGGTTTGCATCTTCAATTCCGGCAATGCTGCTGCGTTCATCGGGAAAGATGGAAGGTGCTTCCATCCGTTTCGAAATCACTGCGAGTTTAATCATCCGGATGCAGCGATAAACTGGCAGCATAGGCCAGCTTGACGCGTGACTTTTGCCGTGCATCCGGATATGCTGATCCTTGTGGTGAGCTGTCCTTTCTTCAGTAAGGGACATCAGAGCTTGGCTGAGCTGGATGCCTCAGACTTTCACTCCCATGTTCACCTGCGTGTCGGTGGTGAAGTAATGATTGTAATGCTGGTTGCACAGAGAACCAGGAGATCGTGAGAGAACTGAGTTTCCGAGAACGGTGCCGCACCTGGCAGGCTCTACACGCTGCGAACTGTCCTGAACGAGGCCACACCAGCATGCTCCCATTCTGGGGAACTGCGGGCAGCACTGACATCGGATGGGGTTTCATGATTTCGGTGGAATCACTTTTCGTCGGTGCATGTCGATTCGTACGGAAACGAAGTCCTAGCTTTCCATCTACGAATAGAAGGTCCACGAAGTTCTAAAATTGACACTGCTTCTCCTGCTTTCCCATGGAGGACTGCCCCTCTCAGATGTCCCTGTCCTAACGACTCGACCGTAAACCCTAAACCATAAACCTGAGCATGGCAAAAAACCTTGGCATGGCCCTTGCGCAAGGATGACACGCACGCCGAAACCCTAAACCCGTCTCTCAAACAAAAAAAAGCCGTCTCTTGCTGCTCATCTGCCTTTGAAGGATGGGCTCTCGGAGCTGCGCCTGGATGCGGCGAAGAGCGACAGCCAGTCCGGGCACCTAATGTAGGGGCCTAAAATAATTGCAAATAGCATTGGTGGGGGTCCTTGTTATAGGTATAGTAAAATGGGCCCCAACACCCTATTCTATTAGATCTGAGCTGCTGAATCTTTCCATGCTCGGTCTTGCACATCCCCACAGCGCACAGCACATCAATTCAGGACTCCCCGTGCAGTGCCAATGTGTGCATGATACTACTACTGCTGCGCCCATACGTCGCAGGAGCAGTAGCAGGAATAGCCGTCGTCATAGTAGCACTAGTGACACAAGAAATACCTGCAGACCTGATACAATCACCATAGAAGCGAAGGCCAACATCGGACCCTCAAAGAAGCTTATTCTAGATCCGACAGCTGGGGCGACAAGTTCACCGATGCAGTCCGTTGTTTAATCGCCTTACACGAGCGTGAACAGCAAGTGACACAAAAAGGCTAAAGGTATCAGCCATGCAGCCGGACGTACGCTGAACCTGAAATCCTTAAATCCTCAAACTTGATCTTCGTCGGTTTCTTCGGGCCTTCTGGGAGCGTTTCCTCCCGCCAGCCGTAAACGCCACTCCCACAATGTGCTGAGGGAGTGGCAGCTGACTGACACTCCGGACGTGGCGGCTGTGACCGTGGCTGGAGCCTCTCGTGTGGTGAAGGATGTCTTTGTCTAAGTAGTGTAGGGGCTTGAATAACTGGTGGCATCATGCTATTCTTAATTCCTTTGTCGCTTACATGAGACCCCACAGTAGAGTTGTATTTAGTACAGGATGTATGCATGCATGTATTTATGTATGTACGGAAGGGCTCAGATCGCCTGTAGGACAGGAACACTTTGCCCCAGCGCGAAATCGCGCGTCGCCGCCATAGGCAAGCACGCTGCATCACCGACGTGGCATCGCCGAGCCCGTCGACAGCGTTCAAAGGTGCGCAGAAGCCTTGCCAGAGGTCACACACCCAGCAGGAGAGCCACTGAGGCCCTGCTCGCGCACCACTCTGTGTGCCCCTCCTTCCGCTACCACTTGCTCCGACACATGGGACGAGGCCAAAAATGGGATGGTGGTGGTTGGCAGCAGCAGTCGTCTCCCGGCTCTTACCGGCTCTGGCGTGGAGCTCGGCAGACTCCCAAGGGAGACGGAAAGGACAAGAGCGCTCCACATGGGAATCGCTTTCCTGCCTACGATGCCAACCATGGCGCGCAGGGCCACAAAGGTGCAGGCAAGCATGGATGGTCGGCCCAGAGGGATGCGGACCCAGCACCCGGAGACGGCAACCTCACACAGGTGCTTCAAGCGGCCTTGAACAGCACAAGGAAGTCCGAGCAGCGGGTCATTGCATTGGGCAATGCAGTGAACCAGCGGGAGGAGCTGTGGAAGCAGTACGAAAAGGAGCTGGAAATCGCATACAGGCGGGAGTATGGCCGTTTCCAGAGAGACATGACCAAGCTGCAGGACGACCTGCAGAAGGCCACGGCAGCTCAGGCAGGTGCACGTGCAGATCTTCTGAGGGTTTGGAAGACTGGTGGTGCAGTCGAGGAACCGCGCGACGATCTGAACGTTTCAGGCATGCTCCAGGCCTGGCGAAGGTCAGAAGGACACGATGCTTCGGCAATCCTGCAGCGAGCAGCACAGGCTGCCATGGCTATGGAGGGACGCATGGACGTGGACCTTTCGATGGCTGCAAGGCCACCGCCAGGCTTTCCGGATGCAGATGGGCCTCCGCGCTTTGGAGAAGGATCTGCGGGACCAGCCTGGCCGGGACAGGGGGAGCTCCCGCCGGACCCGTTTCTAGGCGGGGAGGCCCCGCCTGCCGCACATGTGGCGGAAGCGGATCGTCCTGGAGTTCGCGCCGAGCCATACCACGACCCTGCGATCCGAGATCCTTACTTGCCATCGCCAGGGAGCTCTTTTCTGAAGGCATCGGCCTCAGTCTCGCCCAGCGCAAGAGTGGCTCCCTATGGTGGAAGACCTTCAGCCGAAGAGGCGGCATTGGGTGCCCAAGGCGGAGGCCTGGCTGGCCAAGTTGCAGCCGGCACAGTGGCTTCAAGACTGGCATCAAACCGAGCTCTGAAGCCCTTCGGCGGTGCCAGGCAAGACATCCCGGCCATCGATCCAGCAAAGAAGCCTGTGCAAGCTCTGATCGAGGACGACGACCTTTCGGAAGAGCCCCTTACGGCCGCCGCTTTGGACCCCGG